AGCATTACACATATAAGTTCTCTGATCTTTGGAACCTACATTTGATGTACATGGAAAAGTGCCTAGTACTGTCCTACAAGTCATATAGCTAAAACAGCTGTCGTCAGTGTGCAAATTCGGTAAGACGAGTTCCAGTTATAGCACCAGAAATATGATAAAGTCCTACAAGCTACCTTATCCAGCAGAGTTCTTTCATTGCTTCTTATTTCTGATTGTTTGTAAAGAATGAAGAATAAATACTTACCCTCCAGCCAGTGCATCAAGTAGCTCAAATGCAGCCAGCAACTTTCTCTCTCTGCAAACTAACTCGACCAAACAACACCAAGACTCGGTTCCAGGTTTGAATCCGGCTTCCATCAGCCCTGACAACACCATCTCTGCATCATACACCCTGTCTTCCTCACATAATTTCACCAACAACTCGTTTGAAGTCGCATAATGCGGCAAATATCCTTTATCAAGCATCAAACCCAAGAACACAGCAGCTTCCACCACTTCACCTCTCTTCAACAAGCAGTTCAAAACAATCCTATAACTCCCTTTGTTCAAGTAAACCCCTTCACAAGTTGCCTTCTTTAGCATCCCTAGGGCATCAGCGAACCTTCCTTCTTCACAAAACCCTCTCAGCAATACATTATATGTCACAACATCGGCTTTACACTGTGTTTCCTGCATCTCTTGAAGTAACCCCAGGGCTTCGTCGGTTTTTCCGCCTCTACATAAGCAATTAATCAATGTCGTATAACCAACTGTGTCAGGTCTTAATCCTACAGTCTTCATTTCCTGAAAAGCCTCTTTGGCTTCTGTCACTTTACCTTCCTTGCAGAACCCATTCATTAGGGTCGAGTAGTTGAATAGGTTTGGAGTGCATCCATTGCTCTTCATGAACTCCATAATTTTCCTGGCTCGATCAACTTTTCCGGATTGAACAAATCCGTTTATCAATACATTGTACGTAAGAGCATCAGGTACAATCTGATGCTCTGACACCATCTCCTCGAACAAATCTGTTGCTTCTTTGAGTCTGCCAAGCCGACAAAGACCATCCATGAGAGTTGAGTAGGTGACTAAGTTGGGATAAGAAAGCTTCGACATTTTCATCTCCTTCATCACTTCATGAGCAGATTCAAGATCTCCAACCCGACAGTGATGCTTAACCAAGATATTGAAAATGCAAGTATTCGGCTTCAAATCCAGATGCTTCTTCACATTAACAAGGAAAGTTCTGGCCAGATCAACCTGCTGTGATTCAATCAAGAGATTAAGGCAAGTGCTCACAGCTTTGAGAGAGGGCTTAACACGAGTAATCTTCTGAATCGCATAGAACATCTCTAGCACTCGATCATGCAACATGGACTTGGAGAAATGGTTCATAAGATTGAGGAACATGCTCTCGTGGAAATCACACGTCTCATAGGTCATCTGATGGAGAACTGCATCGACAGCATCGAACTTCTTGGATCGTGCGAGCTTGTGCAGTATAGTGGAATAGGTTGCATGATTGTGATTGAACCCATCTTGCTCACCTACCCTGTTGAATAGTTCCAATGCAAGCTGGGGATCTCGCTCGGATTGGATTAAGGTTACGGCAGAGTCATGAGATATGAATTTACTACGCCGTCTTCTCTGTCGTTCCTGGAGAGTGTTATGAGTTTGTGGTGGGGGGTCCTTGATGGCATCGACATCTTGCAGGGGAGATATCCATGAGATAGAAGATGTTGAATAGGATGACGAGCATGAACAAAGCCTACGGGACAGAACTCTAGGAAGATTCATTCCAGTTTTTCCCAACTGTATAGCATCACACTCCCTGACATGAAATGGGAAGAAAGTAAGCATTCGGTCGAGGCAGAGATAAAATAATAGTTACTAACAAGGTAGCTCATTCATGGAAAAGACTTGGCCTTTTCTGCCACTCTTCTACTTTCACTACCCTATACATATCCCTAGATTCAATAGAGTTTTCTGTATGAAAACGAAATGCAACAAATTGGGCTAAACGGAACCCACCCCAGAAACCAAAATTGCTAAATTTATTAGACGAGCAGAATGATAACCAGGGAAATTAAAAACTAATTGATTGGAGATAACCCACCACTGGAAATGTAGGAGTAACGGCAGCGGAAGCGAAGCCAGTATCTTATAGGGTTCTGCAACGAAGATGAAAGGATCAATTCACGGTCTGCGGCGGAGAACTAAAGAGGAAGCAGATATAAGAAGCAGTCAAAACACAGTCACTGTTATCGGCAGCTGGAGAACGTCGGGGGAAGGTACGCCGGAACGAAGATCGGAGTACAGAGGAGTAGGCAGCGGTGGATGGAATGGATGGCGGAACTCCTCGAATAGAAGATCGCACCGCGCAAACGGGTCGTAAGGTCCATAGTAAACATTGAAGCTGGGCCGGGCCTGCCTCGTTATTGTATTGGGCCAATACAGGTAATTGTTTATTAGCCGGATACCATAATAGAAAGTTACTGGGCTTCGATAATTTCAGCAACCTTTTCCAATAGTTTTCGAAATATAAAAAATAAAAGCGTTGTCTTTTTACTCGAACTTATGGCTAGAGGGGTTCAGTTTTCTCAATTAGATGATCCTATAGTGGTGGAATTACTTGTGCTTCGGGAAAGCTATTATTTGGTGTGTGTAGCAAGGTTTGTCGGAGGTCCGATTTGAGGGCGATGCAAAGGTAATTATTGACAAAATAAATTAAGCCGACACAAGGGACAGCCGGTTGGGTGCTGTTCTGGAAGAGATTGCTCATTATTTTCATACTCAGCCGGGCCTTTAGTGTGCGTTTTGTAGGTCGGGAGAACAATAGGGTAGCTCATTTGGTAGCTAGGAAAACCCTCTCTTTGTATCCGACTATGAGTCGCTTCTTTAATTTCCAGACCTGACTGGTTTCCAGGGTGTAACTGCCTATTTTTTCGATCAATACATGATATCTTTTGAAAAAAAAAACTATATGTTCGAGACTACCTGATTCCATGAACCTCCGAAAAACTTATGAGATCGGACGATTTGTCGTTGCAGATCTATCAATGGTAATCGATAAATTAAAAAATTGAAGGTTATTGGCGGCAGATACTCTCGAGACAATGGGTTTATCTTGGTGAACGGCTATTTGCCGCCAACCAAATTGCTATTTGCCGCCAACCAAAAAAAAAAAGTATATATGTACATCTTTGGTTAAGAAATTTCACAATCTACAACATATCCAACTTTCAGAAAACGTATTGAATAAGAAAAAATCGACGCTCGTCGGAAAAGTCGCCGGAAAACCATCGGGAAAGCCCATCCTCGACGTAAACTGCGGACACGCATCAATGAATCATCACTAAGCAGGTGCGTCAACCTCCCATCGTCCTCAATCGTCGGAAAACAAGTAAGTTTACTTTTTCCGGCAAGTTTTTCAATTTTCCGACAAATTTTCCAGTTTTCCGGCGAAAAAACACGGTGGGCCTAAAAAATTTTGTGGCCGGTGCGCCGCCGGGCCGAAAAAATCTTGTGGACGGTGCGCCGCCGGACCGAAACTTTTTTGCGGCCGGCGCGACGCCCGGCCGAAATATATTATCCGTCATTAGTGCAAGTATCTATCGGTGTCGTTATATTGTTGTTACGTATAGATTCAATGATATCTCTTTAGTGAAGTGTATAGAATAGATATCTGTAATTAGAAGCTTGAACTGACATGTGACTTGGCAGAATAATCTGTCCACAAGTACTTAAAAACGAGGGTCTAAGTCGTTAGTGTAATGAATAAAGAAAAAAACGTGGCAGAAACTCTGGCAGTGCACTTGGTTGGTATATATGAATATGATATGATGAGTTGAGGGCTAGCTGATGGAGAAAGGGCGCCGGACAAAAACAGAGAGCGACCTAGCTAGCTAGCTGCGGGTCAATTGGTGTAAGTGTAACTGTACGTGGCATGCATTTGGCTGCTCCACACAATCCATCAGGAGTTCGCTCAGTCTCTCTTTTGAAGTTTGAACTCTAACGATCAGAACGTCTCTATCTTCTCCACATAGTTGCGTTGCGTTGCGTTGCGTTAATATATAAATCCAATCCATTCAGCAACTTGCCGACAAAATTCTGTTTGGTTCGTATGTATGTATGTATGCTTTTGTTTATATCCGTAGCGGCTGGATAGTGTGTATATATATATAATACATATTACGTCTCATATGTAAGGATTGAAATACTGTACCGGAGGTCGTATCGGAAAAATTAGTGGTAAGTTATTGTATGTCGAAATCGTAGTTTAACGTTAGTTCAATCGTATTATATCTCTAAATGCCGCCTAATAGTTTCGCTTCTGGTACGAGATAATTTTCTGGTCGAACCGCGGGTACTGTACCATATTTCAATCCTTCCTCGTATGTTGATGTTGGACTTCCTACAGCTAACCCCGTAACTATACATCATCAATTCATCACATGCTTTTCTTTTGCCATAACTAACAGCATATAGTTATCAACTAATTTTTCCTTCAAACTAGGGTAATACCTGCACATGAGCAACACCTATGAGATTTGTTATCAAAATTAGCCATGTCTCCCGATCTCATCATGCTTTGCTCAACTTCTTTTCGAATTTGGATCATACTAATATAATTATTTACTATTTATTTATTGTTCTCATTTATTTTTCACCATGTCTGTGTGTACATATTCCATATGGAACATAGGTAAAAAAAAAAAAAAGCATTGCAAAAAGCATAGAATGAAAGGAAAGAAAGTGTACGCTGGTTCAAAAACCACATGAGTATACAATGTATACATAGTGGTAGTGAATGACTCGAAACTCGAAAGACAAGTCTCGTCACTAATGCTAGATATCCAACTTGAAAAACACATTCATGAGCCCTCATAATTCATAAAGCTGCCTTGATGGGGGTACTACAATTGACAGGCATTTGCTTTTAGCCAAATGAATTAATTGGTGATGCACTTTGAAGTCTCACAAACTTGTGTCACTTGTGCCAAAACACAATACCAAAGGTCTAGAGGTCAAAATCAAAGGTGCAATAAACAACAACGAGAAGAGATACCATGATCCAATGAAATATGTAACACCGAATGAACACAAGTTCAACAAATCCATAAAACCCCTCATCGTCAAATCCAAATTCAACACCCCATGAAAACGAGAAGCCAAAAAGGAAAAGAGGAAAAAGAACAAGGTAAAAGGAAGGAAAAAAAAAACTCTAATCTACGGATAACTCAATAGGAAAGATATGATCAGATGAACATCGCTATGAATCCCAATCCAGCAGCCACCAACGCCGGCGAAGCGATCACCACTGCCACCGCCGATGAAGAATTCTTAGCCGCCTCCGGCGGGGAAGTCTGGTCAGCGCTGCCCGGCAACCCCGGCGGCCCAGGAGGGGAACTACCCGGCTGTCCGGCAGGCGAGTTCGAGGTACCAGCTGGAGCGCCGGCGGGCGAAATAGTACCCTGTGAAGGCGCGGTGGCAGGGGAGTTCGAGGGAGCGCCGGCGGGAGAACCACCGGGAGCAGCAGCACCCTGCGATGGCGCGGTGGCAGGAGGAGAAGAACCGCCGGACGGCTGTGGGGCCAGATCGGGAGTTCCTGCCGGGGCGGAGCTTGGCGGGTGAGATGCTGTCGGAGGCAGAGCAGGGGCAGGGGACGGCGGCGCTGTTGGCGTCTTGGGGGTCGCCGGGGGAGATCGGACGGCGAGGACCACGACGACGAGCTTCTGGCCGGCGAGACACTGCTTCTTGTTGCCGCTGATGAAGTAGAAAGGTCCGGATTGAGGGAAGTTGAAGACGGAGGTTCCTGATTTCATGACTTTCAGCTTCTTGCTGGTGTCGCAGCTGTCGTAATCCTCTTTCTTCACTTGCACCACTGAATCTGACCCTTCCTTGTACTTGAACACTGCCACCCATACATCAGTAAAAAATCAAAATTAACCCCGACCCCTAACGGTAAAAAAGATTAGGTTTTTACTGCAGTAATAAGTTGCCAGAATAGATGGATCTCATTCTGAACCACCTATGTGCAATAATTGTCGTTATAATCCCCATTTTAATTATGTGGGTAATAAAGTGTTCACGGCTGATTGAGTGACAAACAACGACATAATGGTATCTAATAAAATTTTGAAACTGATAAGAAAATTAATCAGGCGTTTCAATTCTCGTTGCAAGATGTAGTTGGAGGAGGATGGAGTGATTGATTACCGAGGGAGTCGTTGACTTGGAAGCGGAGGCGTTGAGCCCAGTGATCGTAGGACTCGGAAGGTTTGACCACCCAACCGTCTTTACCGCCGACGTCGAAGCTCAGGGCCATGGAGGAGGGGAGGAAGAAGGAAGCAGCCACCACAGAAGCTAAGAGAAGGGTGATGATCCTGTGGCTTGAAGAAGCCATTTTCTCTTCTTTCTTTGTGTTTTCCCGAGAGGAGAGTTTGGTAGAGTATATGGGGGGAAGGGAAGAGAAAATTAAAAAGATTGGAATGGAAGGTGAGGTTGGAGTTGGGTTTGGTTGGGAGAATTATTGGGATATATATAGAAGGACTGGATTTGAAGGGGGGAAGAAAGAAAGGAAAGGAAATTTGGTGAAGGTGAATTTAATGGGCGGTGAATGGAGGAATTAATGAGCTTAGCAAATCTAGTGATATGGAGAGAGAAGAGTTGGTATGAATTAATTAATCAATACCATGTATGTACTATACATTTTAGCCTAAACTCCAAAAATTAATCATTAAAATTTTAATTTTCAGCGTTTGTGTAGTGTTTATGATTTTGTTTTTATAATGTTAATTGAACGAACAAAAAATTCTTCATACAAACAAACAGTAAATGATTTTCATTTAATTATCATGAAGTTCACCATTTATAAAATTGATGTGAAACAAACCGGATAATTAGAATGAGATATTAGACCGAAGCCAAATTTAAGACCATATACATATGTTTATGTGATGTGTTGTGAAAGGCTGTCATTGTCCTTTGGGTGATGGTTGGAGAGCAAAGATTGGAGGAGAGATTTATTGATGATTATGGGAATTTATTTGGAGAGACTTAAATGCTTAATTAATCTACTAATTTTCTTCTACGGAAGTTAATTAATAGAGGAAAGCCGTGTCCGAATCGGTGTGTGTCGACAGAGTTAGTACACTATTGGATTATTAATATGTGGTTTTTGATCGGGAAATTGGGGCCCTTTGGTGATGGGACTTGCGAGGGAGAGTGTTTCGATTCTTCCTTTTTCTTTTTTGATGTCGATGATGATGAACTACTTTCTGGAAAAGTATTCGTCTAGCTACTTCTATATTATTGCCTTGTGATTTTTTTTTTCTGTGGGGTATGTAAAAAGGCCAAGTAAATCAATGCAAAATCTCTCAAATTTAGGTTGCATTTTTTTTGTTCTATTATTTATGGTAGTTTTTTTTTGTTAGTATATAATCATGGCTATGGTAATATAGATTGAATTTGAGATAAGGAGAAAATGGGTTTGACGAGAAAAACTCCTTTTTGGGAATTTTGAAACTACATACAGAAATATACCAATAAATGAAGTTACTATATATTATACAAAATAACCATCACTTAGAAACATAGGATGTTATAGAAGTTTAATCCCTTCATGATGGATTTGGATTTTCTCCCACTCTCTTCTCCAATCAAACAAGATGGTAATAATGATCCATTTTTTTCTAAAGTTATGGCTCCAGCATTGGAGAAGAGAACCAATTCTCAATGTGGAAGTAATGATCCATTTTCTTTCTTCCATAGGAAGTAGGATGTTGATAGCTTTGAGAAACAAAAAAGAAGATGTGAAGTAGTAGTTGAATTAGTTAATGATCATCACAAACTGACCCTAGCTTTGCCTTTCAAAGGAGACAAACATATCCCAAAATCTATTATTGACTACATTATCTCTTCCTGGCAAACAATTGTCATCATCATTATACAAACTTGGCCGGGGGAGCCAGCCTGCTGAATGTTGCCGTTGCGTTCGTAATGATGCTTAGAGCTAGCTAGAGATCATCATCGATAAAGCTCCAAGTTCCAAATACAAATTAATCGAATCTTAATCATCTCCAACGTAGCCATGGCGCCTCTCGAGCTAGCTTTCTCGACATCTTTGTAGCTGCAACTTGGCTGCATCATTGCGGTTCATTATGCATCAAAAGCAACAGCTAGCGAACAACGATATCTCCCTTCATTATTCTACACATGTTAATGCATTTCGATGATGGTGGTAAAGCTGGCTCGCTTTCGAATTGGACATGTCTCATGCATTATGGTGATTTCCTTTCCCTTGGAAAAGGAGATCTTATTTACAATCACATACAATCCGATTTGATCAGAATAACATATATTAAACAATTGTTAATCGACACACCGTGAGGTAAGTTTTTTTTTTCTTTTTATTTTTTCGTCTTTTGGAGTGATAATATGTACAACTATGAATTTGTTTTGTTGCATACTGCTTTGAGCATTCTTTCCTTCTCGGTCACTTGATATCGACCGGAAAAAGTGATAGACGGGCACTACTTATTTATCAGAGCGAAGCGTATAGCGTAATGAATTGGCTTGAAGAAATATCATGTTGGAATTTCTTTTCGCACATTGTTAATTATTTCCATCAAACCTTACCCATTCAAATGTTGCAGCTTTGTACTAGAATGAAAAGCAACAATCACAATTGCATGATAAATAGAATCATCATCATTCTCATTTAGTTAAAAACAAAGAAATTACTGGTGTAGAAGAGGAAGGGTATAGGGAAATCGACTTGATTTAGAGGCAAAAAATAAAAGCAAGCAATTTATTATTACCCTAATCAAACATAAAAAAAAAGCATTACAAACTACGCCGCGATAGAATCCAATCAATCAAAATTCCATCCCAAATCTAAAAAAACAAATTATTAATTAATAAGAAAAAAAGAGCAGTTGATCAATGGGTGTATCGGAAGCAGCGGGTGGCTTCGGTGCAACCTCGGGTGTAGGGGTTAGCCCGGATGCGGTAGCTGCAGTCGTAGTAGGAGTTGCCTTTCCACCCGCAAGGGATGCTGTTCGCCCTCAGCGCTTGGTACGTAATGTACCGATCCCTCTGCTGAAGCTTCCTCCTGAAGATTCGGCCCGCCGCCGGCTGGATGAACTCCTCCGCCATCTTCTTAATTCCGGCCACACCCACTTGTTCTTCCAGACTCGCCGCCATCCGGCTCCCTGCTGCTTTCCCTGTCTGGGCCTCCGCCGTCCCCACCAGCATCACCACCACTAGTGCCACGAAGGCTAGGAGCAGTTTCGGAAGCATATCGATTCGATCTGTGACGAAACGAAACAGAGATGTTCGTGTCTGGTTTGTTTCTGTTGATTGATTGTTGCTGTTGTTGATGGGATAGGGATATAAGGGGGGAGTGAGGTGGTTCTTTGGCTTAATTTGTGTGCTTTACTTGGTGATTGATACGTGGACGTGATTTGCATGCATGGCGGGGGAAAATTGTGATTGTTTTTTTTTTTTTTTTTTGTGAGGTGGTGATTGAATTCAGCTTCAAAGCCAATTTTAGACTGATATTCTGAAACAGAAGACCAAACAAACTGATAGAGTATTCCTTGTGACTCGGTCTGGTGTTTTTCGGAATTTTCCCATTTATGTTTGTCTGGGGAAGACAGACAGAAGAAAGAAAGGATAGGATCCATTTGTAAAATGCCAAAATTAACGGGTACTTTACAGCATTTCACCGCAAATTCGTGGAGGTGTATTGATATTCGCTGTGGTAAAGGTGCAGTGGGATATTCGCTGTGGTAAAGGTGCAGTGGGAGGTTTATGATGGCTTGCAGAGTTGCGGCTACGTTCTAGTCCCGGGAGGAGTTACGCCGTTACGGTGTTAATTGTACAATAGTTAGCACCGTCTTAATCAAGGATAAAACTACTAATAGTTTGAATTAGTAGTGATTTAGCTTAGATGTTGTATTGATTTTATAATAATCCGTAGTGATTTCGTTGTTTTTAGTAGCGTTTTTTGCTAGTTATCACGGTGCTAACCCCTATAGCACCTAATCCCATCCCTCTAGTCGCACTCACCATCCAGAGTTAGCACCTTGGTGGGGTGTTCATGTTATACATTTATCAATAACTTTTTATGAATTCGTCAAATATTCATGTAGACTAAAACAACCACGTACGTGTGACAGCGATATAGATCAAACAAAATTGTTTTGTAGTAACACACTTGCTCGATGCATTGAGTGTTGCACAGATATACCACTTTCTCCTCATAATGTCTTTCTTTACATCAGCGTAACTGGTCGACCATTACAACGATTGGCCATCATTGATTTCGCATGCTGCAAGGAAGTTATCTCTAGCTGCAGGAGCTAGATGCAGACACGGGAGGAAGAAGCAGACTGCAGATACTGCGCTGGTTTCTCGTGTCATTGGCTCTATAAGAACACCATCTACCTATGAACAACACACGAACTCAGAAAATCCACCATTTCTTTCGCCTCTTCCTCTGCAACCAAAGAACCAAACATTATATGATGCACTTTCAGGGGCGATAATTTGACCGCAGAGCACATTACAGCCTAGGCAACTTTTAAGTCGATGCATTTTCTGCACAATGAAAGTAGAGGACTAAAGGTGAGACCTCTTTCTGCTGATTTTGTGGTTGTAAGACGATTGGTTGCGAGAGAATGCCATTGTCGGCATCCTTGATGTATGGCTGCACCTTCTCCTCCAACATTTGGTTCAACTGCATTGGTGGTAGAGATTAGTCAATTCCCCATCTACATATCAAGCAAAGAGTTTCATTGAGAGTTTCATTACTAAAATGATAAAAATGACATCTAGAAGTAAAAGATTGAGAAACAATTTGAAAGGTTAGTCTATTCCCATTAAACCAGGCCATTGAGGCTCTGCGTCAAGCTGATGAAAGGTTTACCGACCTTTTCCTGACGCCATTTAGCTTCCCATTGTGCATCCAGCATTTTATCAGACATTTCTCTTTGTGCATTAAGAAGAACGGTCATCTCATAGAACTTTTCTGGCTTTTTTAGATCTTCCTCACTCCAGGATGAAGAATTCAGAGGAAGGTCCAGCTCCTGATACACGAGTCGAAGCAAGACGAGTTAATGAGACACATGGTTTATTGCCAGACGAATAATCTCATCTCAATTTCAGGACATCTTTAATTGAGTAGAGAGAGTATAAGACAGCAAGTAACTCACTCCCCACTTTTCTGGCCGTGGTGGTGGATCAAGTCTCATGACCTCTGCCTCCAATGCCTTCTTGGCCCTGTAGTGTGGAAGATTTTTCACAATAACTGGATCTTCCCTGGCACGAATAGGGTCTATCGTGATCAAGGCCTGTGAAAGATAGGTAATGAGGAAATAAATAAACTTTTGGTGGAAAAATAAACCATATGTGAATTTCAGCGAGTGCATTCAAACTGTCTCTACAATTCTAGCCTTATTGACATTTTCGGAGAAGGTGAAATGAAATATGGAAGCATCAAGCTTAAATGTCAATGACTAGTACAAGGACAAATGAGACTAGATATGTCTTACTTCCTGTAATAATTCCCAGCCAGGAGCTCGCTTAGCCACGATATCCCGTAATTTATCATATCGAAATGATTCCTACAGCCAAGGGTAATATATTCATAAAGTTTATATCACACTTTTGGAAATTAGGGCAGAAACTTAGTAGCAAACAGACTAAATTGATTAGAGAGAGTAGGTCTTTAAACCTCGTACTGCCACCAAATTTTCCTTTTGATGTCATCATCATAATTCAACCCACCCACGACCTGGGGGAAGGTAAACAACCAAAAAGCAGCAATACTAGGATCTTTCATGCTGTCACGGATATGCTGAAACAAAAAATGAGCAAAAATCAGGTTATAGAAGACCAATATATGGTGTCAAGAAGCCTTATACAGTATTTGTTGTAGTTATATGTGAGCAACAAACACGGGGAGGGCTTCCCAACGAGCACAACCAGTGAGCATTTCGAGCATGAGTAAAGCATTAACTTAAATTTCAACACAGAATCAAATTGTTATTGGGAAAGTACCAAGTCAACCATCCTTTCGGTGAACCAAAGGGTGACTATTGAATATAACAAACCAGGTGGAAAAGTTCCAAATTATAGCAGCTATTAACATATTGATCCAGGACAAGAAATCTATACTAACCTCATAAGGATAGTCCATCTTGCGCAGAACATTATATGCTTTCCATGGTGGCTCCATAATCTGTGGAACAGATATCAGAACCATCATCAAGGGGTTTTGTTTTCCCCGACGTGTAGATAAACCAAAGAGATACATAAAGAACAAGCAATCCAACAATTTCTCACATCATCCGCAGAGATCCTGACTTGTAATTTATCTTTGCATTCAGGACACCCCATTACACCCTGGAACATCAGTAATCCAACGGTTACAACAGACACATCAACAGACGTAAAAAAAAACTCAGCAAGGATGCCAAGTTCAGTACCCCTATCTAAGTACCTAATGAAAAATCCACTGGATAATGATTAACAAATTATCTAATATCGGTGAGATGCGAAATGACCAATAAGCATGGGCATCCATTCTATCAGTGTGCGCACACATTGAAGATATTAAAATCAGTGAAAGAAAAAGTACAATAGCAGTTTGTAAAGGTGTGCAAAGATGAGGCCCACCGTCCCGTCACAGTCTGGACAGTCTTTAGATGGCAAAGGCACATCAGAATTCACGGCAGCTGGAAAATGCATTACTTCAGCTCGATTTTCAGAAATTGCATCTGCAACACATTCAGCAGTGGGCTTCTCCCCTCTGCATAAAATACAACAAACATATAAATAACATGATCAAAGTACAGAAGACCAGATTTACATAAATTCCAATGTCGAAGGCACAATCAGACCACTTTCTCAGTCTGGTTTCACCCTTTGAGGCTTTGCACCCGCCATAATTTGTAGCCGAGGGAACATCAGATCTTTATTTGGGTTAGCTCAGCAGAAGTATATACCTTCTCAAGGAGTAATTTCTCACTTGGTACTGCACACTTCCTGATCCTCTACACATGGTACACCGCAATGCCTGCCAACCATTGCAAGTTCGACAGTTCCTGGATTTCATGATTCCGCATTCCATTCAATTCTACCAATACATTAGGGAACAAATTTATAATCCACCAGAATAGATGACAGCAAACAGCAGGCTGAAAGCAAGAATCAGCACCTCTGGCAGATAACCTTCTTTCCCAACTCCAAAGCAATATCATACGTCCCAAGTGTAGCCACAGCCTGCAATCAAGAAAACGAGAGAATCATTTAGCATTGAAGCCCAGCCTAATAGGCCATTTATCAGCTTCCATAGAACGAAATGCAGAAGAAGCCATGTAGCACATTGGAAACTACAACTATGTGTGGTCACTTGGTCAAATGATCGAGAACCCCGCGACTTCAATTCCAGAAATGCATCAAACAACCTGAGTAGTTTTCATTGCAATTCCAGAAGACAGCAATAACCTCACCGACGTAGAAATAGAACCCGCTGAAATGCAATTTCACTGAACAGGAAGAAATATCAAATCAGCTACTATTATCCATTCTACAACTCCAATACAAAATTCCCACTTTCAGTTTGAAGAAGAAGCTGCCTCCATAATCTAGATATAAGTATCACCACATTAATTTTGGAAAACCAGTAGAATATCTAAGACTGCAAACTCAGACACAAGGTTTCAAATTCTTACGCATAAAACACCAAGAGGCCATAAAATTTTCTCATGGCAAAGCACACGACTTTCAAGCAACCCAAAGCAAGCTGAATCATTTACTGTAAACCCCATTTCCAGCTAAACAGAATTTACAGGAGAATAAAAGAATCCTGCTGATGTTCCAGTCACGGCAGGGAAAATGGATAACTTACGAAGACGGAAGCATACGAGAGCTTCGAGATGAGTTCAGGGACGCCGAACCCTCGGGGAGCGGAGCCAACGATGTCAAAGGCGAGGGTGAAAGGGGACAGCACAAGCTTAATGGGGAACTCGAAAACGTCCACCAATTGGTCGCCATACCGAGCTGTGAATTCTTTGTACTGCGTGTCGGCAAACTTCTTCACGTTATCAATCAGACGGCCCGGCCCTCTGGACATTGCCCCGGCTAAAGATAAGACGCAGCCGTGAAGAGAAGAACAGGCGAGGACTGAGCAGTAAAAGCTCCAGCTCGGAACGGAACTTCTTCGGCTCCTCTCAATTTATATCGCCCGGTCGGAATGGACTCTGCCGGCACTAAAATCCGGTCCGACGCGATCAATCCGTTTGGTTTTGATTTTGTGGGCTTTGATTCAGCTTGTATTTCATTTTCTGTGGGCTTTTTCACAAACCCAAGTGACTTTTGTCTTTGTTTCATTCATGGGCCTTGGGTCCACAACACATATAGCTGCAGTCAAAGCACGAAAACCAGTACTGTATACGTTGACCAATCAGGTTCTTCAAACTATTCAGTCACCAACTCCAGACTTTTTTTTTTTTTTGGTAGAACCAACTCCAGACTTTAATCAATTAATAATTAATTAATATTAGAGAAATTAATGCACACAGACAGAAATCAAATTCGCTATTTGCCGCAAGTCGCCGCAGCCTTCCTTCCAGCCTCGCGCACGCCACTGTCTAGATTCTATCTGCGTACCACAAACGCCATACCTCACTGTGGAGTTGCAAAGGGAGAATCGATGGCGGCGGTGAATGGAAGCGGAGTGAGCTTGGCTTCACAGGCGTACATGGAGGGGAATGCTGTTAAGGAAACGAGGGCGTTGGTCGCTGATCTCTGCCGCCAATTCTACAGCCTCGGCTGGGTTTCCGGCACCGGGGGCAGCATCACCATCAAGGTCCACGATGATTGCATCCCCAAACCGCAGCAGCTCATCCTTATGTCTCCCTCTGGTAAAATTCCTCATCAAGAGTCTTGATTTAGTTTGTTTTCCTCTGTTTTTGTGGATTATTTTCACTGGTATCTGTAATCTGGGCTTCACCATTACTGCTGTGGCAACGGATATGGATTTGCGGTTGTTAGATTTGTAATCTGAGCTTAACTTCGACTGGTGTGGGCAACAGATATTCATTTACGCTCCTTGATTACCAACTGTTACTAGGGCACAATTTTGAATCTTCCGGGTCATTTTGGATTGCTAAATGCTACTTCCAAATCTGATTCTCAGTTTCCGTTCCTGTGTTTTGGAGAGATATGCATTGCCAATTACACTAGCCTTTGATCATATTTCGATTGATTTTAGGATTGTGGTTTGGCAGGTGTTCAGAAGGAGAGAATGGAAGCAGAGGATATGTATGTCATGTCAGGAAATGGTTCGATATTGTATGCACCATCACCGAAGCCTTACCCTCACAAGCCTCCCAAGTGTTCTGATTGTGCTCCTTTATTTATGAAGGTCAGGAGGATTTCCTGTTCTGTATAGAAAATGTACCAATTTAATTTTACATTTGGTCTTGTATTGAAGATGTAGTTACTTGCTCTAGTATGGCTCAGTTACTTGATCTGTTTCTGTTTAAGTTAGGGTACCCATCTTGCTACTGTGTGTTGGTGCTGATGATTCTTTTTGCTGCGATGTAGGCATATGAGATGCGTGATGCTGGAGCCGTCATTCACAGTCATGGAATGGAGTCTTGCCTGGTGACAATGCTCAATCCATCGGCAAAAGAATTCAAGGTAATTGTTTCCATGTTGTCTACTAAGTACTAATAATTAACAAGTTCTAAAATTCTTCTTATATTTGCTTTTGAAGATTTGTCCTTTCCCCCTAAGCTCCTTATGCATTTCCAACTGAACTAGCCACTCGCCCATCTGTGAAGTGCGTTGTGGACATAAAATACAGAGATACGGGGTGCGGGAGAATGTTATTGCATGACAATTAATTACTAGTTTCCCAATGGGTTACCATCCTCTGACCAGCCAACCTGTTGTGGAAGGTATTATTACCATGCAGTGGGAAGGTCTATAGTGTGAATTATCTTTAGAATCTCAACGCCATGCCTTTAGTTTGAAGATCTACAGAACAGTAAATAAATATTGATTTTTTTTTATATCTGAGAATGATTTTTGTGTGCCTGACTGCCTGTGCTCTGTGCAATGAGGAACAAGAGCAATCAAAATAGTAGATCAATTTGCGAACAAGGAGATCAAATTGATCTCCCAGGTTCGAATCTCTGTAGTAGCACATTATAATGGAAAGAAACCTATATCACCCTTATCTTAAAATAGGAGATCAATTTAAGATACAGAATAGGAATAAGAATACTCGAAACTTGAGGGGAGATCTTCCCTTCGAAATTATTTTCTCCCTCAAGTTTGAAAAATAGCTTTCACTTTTATTGCAGCTAGGGCATCAGAGAATTAAGCTGTAGCTATGACCATCCATATGAACTTTTTTTTCTTTTTTGTGTTAATAGCATGTCATTTAGAGATCGTTTTGAAGTGTATTTTCACAATCTTGTGAGCACAAATTTTGACGGAATTATGTCTTGGATCAGATCAATCATTAATATTTCGCAGCATTTTATATTCAGATGACTTTACTCTGTGTTTTGTTTGCTTACAGATTACTCACATGGAGATGATAAAAGGGATTAAGGGTCATGGATATTATGATGAACTTGTTGTTCCAATAATAGAGAATACAGCCTATGAGAACGAGCTGACAGAATCTCTTACGAAAGCTGTAAATATCTGTTATTTGCAATTCTCTTACTCCACTTTGCTCTTACCAGTTAAATATTGTACTATCTGTTAAGTGATTCTAGCATGCACATATTAATCTTTATGCGTCACACTAGCTGACCCTACTTAAACACTATAGTCAGTCTTTGAATGGCTGGTATAATGTGCAGAGACTTGTCATTTTCTGTTGAAGTTGTATGCTTTTCTTGTGGGTGACTGTTTGTGTTATTTAGATGCAGTCTCCTTAGTCATGGTCTCTCACTCGTGTACTGAATGCTTAGTGTTTACTATAATTGGCATAAATTCGAGTTCTTGTTTGATCATTGTTTTAGTGTAGGATAACTGATATATACCCAATAACCATATCTAATGTTTTCTTTCTGATAATTTTGTTTGAAATGTTAGTTTTATGTCTTCCGCAGATATATCCTTGGGCTAACAGTTTGTTCTCAACTGCTAGATAGAAGCATACCCAAAGACAACTGCTGTGCTAGTTCGCAACCATGGAATATATGTATGGGGGGACACATGGATTAGCGCCAAAACTCAGGTTTGTGCAACACACTGTATGGTTTGAAATTTTCGGGGGATGACCTTTTATCTAATGTTTTGTTCATACTAATATTGGCCGCACAATATTTTGTACTTCTAATATTCGCATAAATTAACAGTTGGTAGATGGATAGCAGTTATGTTCAGGAGTTTGGTACTTTATTGTGTTCCTACACTCATTCATTTGTTCTTTTATGGACTGGGAATTTTTTTTGCAGTCTGAATGTTATCATTATCTCTTCGACGCTGCAATCAAACTTCATCAAATGGGCCTGGACTGGTCTACCCCAAGCCATGGTCCGATCCAGCAGGCCAGAGGAGCTATAAGTGCGCCAGTGAAGGCAGGATTGAAGGATTCAAGTCACAATAGTGAGACATTTCCTGTAAGCTCTTTTGTGCATGATAGAGTTAGTTCAAGCATCTATTTTGATATGGTATATATGTCTTGATCTTGGAAAGGTGTACAATAAGGCTTTCTTGGGCATCACTACTTCGGAAGCTCTGTGAAATATATCTATAACTGTATTTTTCAGTGCTGCATCCTCCTGGACATTGAAGGGACTACCACGCCTATAACGTTTGTTGCTGATGTCCTTTTTCCGTATGCCCGTGACAATGTGGGAAAGCATCTGTCAGCAACATACGAGACTGAGGATACTCAAGAGGATATAAAGTTGTTGCGATCTCAGGTAATTTATGAAGTCTCTTTTTGTTAATCTAATGCATGTTGCTTATGTTGCCATCTCTTGCATAGGGTAGACTTGGTAAAAAGTATCTGTTGGTTTCCTTATGAAAATTGAAAGATGACTCTTAGTAGGGCATTCTTGTCCTTCAATTTATTTCTTTGCTACGTGTTAACAGGTTGAAGATGACTTGGCACATGGCATTGATGGCGCTGTACCCATTCCACCAGATGGTGCTGGAAAGGATGCAGTGATTGCAGCACTGGTTGCTAACGTAGAGGCAATGATAAGAGCAGATCGCAAGATTACTGCCTTGAAACAATTACAAGTATGTATTCTCGTGCACAGGTTGGATCTTCTGCTTAACTCGAATCAATCATATGTCCTCCAAAATTTGATGAGAAATCGTTCATTCATGCAGGGGCACATATGGAGAACTGGCTTTCAGAACAATGAATTGAAAGGAGAGTTTTACAATGATGTACCTGAAGCATTGCAGAGCTGGCATGCCTTGGGCATAAAGGTAACATTTTCTTGAGTAGCGTTGTTTCTTCAGTACTACCAAACAATTAAATTGTTTGCATGACAGCATGACATCTATTTTGGACCTCTCTTGCTTTATGTTATCAGAGCCTTATTGACCTAGATATCTCATGTTTCAATCGTAGTAACTTTCTATATTAACAGTTGATTGAGGTACGGAATAATGTCCCAATGTAGTAATCTACCCTGTTCTATGTCTCAGGTATATATATATTCCAGCGGCAGCAGGTTGGCACAGAGACTTGTATTCGGGAACACAAAGTCTGGAGATTTGAGGAAATATTTGTCTGGGTTTTTCGACACTAATATTGGGTAAGCTCGGCATATTTTCAACTCTGCGTGACACCTTGCAGTACAAGGAACAACCTTACTCTTGTTATTTCCGTTGGCTCTGCAGGAACAAGAGGGAGACAAGCAGCTACGTTCAGATTTCTGAATCGTTGGGAGTAGATAGCCCGTCTGAAATCTTGTTCTTGACGGACGTTGTTCAAGAAGCAGTAGCAGCTAAAGCAGCAGGTAACACAATTATCTCTTTTACTGACTCAAACTGCAGGCCTTAGCGTGCCTTCTTTCTTCGTCGTACTAGTGATCAATTAGTACATAAACGGTCACAAAATTTTGGATTAGCAATTCGGACCGTGAATGTCAATTTCTTGGCAGAATTTCTGCATGACTAGAATGTATATTCAAATTTTCTTTCTTCCTGAGACGATCGGAAGTGGTGATCAATCCTGCTGACAAAATGCACATTGATGATCAATCAGGTCTGAAGGTGATGATCTCTGTCCGGCCAGGGAATGCACCTTTGCCTGAAAATCATGGGTTCAAGACCATCAACTCTTTTCTGGAAATATGACACATATATTCCATTATGTGCTGCTCTGCATTGTATGATCTAGTGCCCTGTGTTGGCCTAGAACTGGCATCAACCTGCTTTTGTTGTATCACCTAAGTAAAACACTACCAGCCCCGGGTAACTATTGTACAAACGAAATCTTACGACTTTAAGGTCTGTTTCCATGTGAGATTGTTAAAATAAAACTAGCTACAGAGTTTGACGAGACGAAGGTAGCTAAATCCATTTCCGTCCCATCCTTATCATTTTCGGAGCACTCTCCCATGCTGGTCTCACTTAATCTGCACGGCAATTCTCAATGTTGTTACGGTATAGAAGAGCTGAGTAACAACAATAACGGATAAAATTGTCATCTCTACCTAGTTGGTTTGATCTTTCAAATGTTGTTCATGCTGTCACTCCTCAACTCGAGGTTTCTTGAACGGCAAATCTTATTATTATATCAGAATGTAGGTCGAGGACAACCTCTGCGTCAGTTGTTTTGTTCTCATTGTGGAAACCAGCTTGTAGTCGTGGTAGTAGTAATTGCCTGGTCGGCAAGCTAATTGCAGACTGAAACCATAGACAGGGTCAGGAAAAAATGGGTGCAGAAGTCAGATTTAAAAGTCAAAATTTTTGTCTGTCAGTCTTGTGTCTGTAGCGATTCCCCGCCCTTCTTCTCATTTTTTTTTTTTTTTTTTACAGTACCTTCTTCTCATTTCTTGTATCAATTTTTTCTTCTCTTTTCCTTGTCCAATCTCTTCTATGGTAAAACCATTATTGAGCTTTCGTTCAATCCACGTTATATATGAAATCTTACTAAACTTGTAGTTTGATCCGTCTTTTAGTTCAAGCGTTTTCAGAAGAAGGAAATCTTGTAGCCGTTTGAATAGGTTGCGATAGTATTGTTTCTTAAAAAAATTATCATATCAGGAGGAACATGAAGGAACCGAAGCTTAATAATTGGTGATAATAATATTATGAGAAACAGAGTGAGAGATAGAACAATCATCAAATGCTACAGGCAAGCAAACAAACAAATAAAGAACACATCTTTAATCTCTCCCTCAAAAATCAAAACCATTACCATAACCATAAGTCCATAACCCATTCAAGAGAATCACAAAATGTAAAAGAAAATTCAGGGCTCCGGAGGCTGCGATTCCGCTGCCCTTGGCGACGTCAAAGGGAACAGCGTCAGCAGCTGCGGCTCCGATTCTCTCGGTGTAGACAACGGCGACGGATGCAAGTAAAACCCCTTCTCCGCGATCGCCCGGTCTTCCTCCTCCAATGGCGACGACGAGCTGCTGCTGCTGCTGCAGTTCCCCGCCGACGAGGGGCAGGGGGAGGATGAGGAGCTGTTGTGGTTGTGGAAGAATGGGTCTTGATTCAACGGAGTAACCGGGCTCAGAGTCAGCTTGGGGAAGTCCAGCATACTCGGCGACAAGATCTCCGCAGCGGCGGAGGCGGAGGAGGGGGAAGAAGACGAGATGAGATTGGAATTGAAGGTGAAACGGCCGGCGGCCGGAAGCAGAGTGTTGATCATCAGGCTGCGGTGCTTGAAGCTGTTGCTCCTCCTCTCGTAGAGCTGTTGCTGCTGCTGCTGCTGCTGTTTCTTGTTGGGTATGCTTCTGATCGGAGGAATGGGGAAATTGGTGCTGCCCCTCATCGACGGCGGTGGAGGAGGATCTTGGGGTCTTGGGGAGGAGGCTTGTTTGGCTGTGTCGGCGGATCCAGTGAGAATTTGGACGACTTGCTTGAAAGTTGAGGTGTTTGCCTGGACGAAGGTTGTTGGGTAAGGATTCATATGGTGGTGGTGGTGGTGGTGATAATCAGATCTGGGGATTTGGTGGCCGCCGCCGTTGGTATTGCTGAAATTGCCGTTTGGGGAAGCCAATGGAGATGATTGTGGGAAAAGGTGATGCCTTTGGCTCTCATTGTTATTCATTAGTGCTCTCCCTACTGCACTGTTACTACTACTGCCTTCCATTTGTTCTTAAACCAAAACTCTCTCACTCACTCACTCTGTTTTCTTGCTCAGCCGCCGCTGCTGCCGCCGTGATTGGAAGTTCCGGTCATGGAACTGAGATGGGGTTGTGGAAGATGGGGGGAAATGGGGGTTGTGACTTGTTTGGTTGGAGGAAGGGAGAATTTTAAGTTGTGTGTTATGAGTATATATATTGCAGACTCAAATGTGTAAAGGAAGGAAGGAAGAAGAGAAGGGAGGATTGGTTGCTGCAAAATGGAATTACTTTTGGACTATAACTTGGAGGAGCATATGTGCCACACCACTCCCTCCTCCCTAGCTACCTCTTACTTTGGAATAAATCCACCAAAATACAAAATTATTAAATGGTTTACACTTCACACTATGTTGTGCATTTTGTCTCCTTTTTGGTTAAATTGATGCTACCACGTTATACAAGTTGTGTGATGAGTAAATTGATGTTACACATCACTTCCTTTATACAAGTTGTGTAAAGGGTTTGTCATTATCAGCTATTGATCGATAATTTTGATGACTTGATAAGCACAAAAAATAAAAATTTAGGTGCTATTAAGAAAAGTAAGGATTACAATTCGAATGTGACGTGGTACACAACTACACATGATTTCTCCTTTTACCTGTTCTACCCCAATATGGTTTGGGGAGGCAATATCGAGCGTGCATGGGTTTTCCTTCCACCCTATGCCGCTCGATCCATTGTGTCTACCTTTAATATAATTCGTACTTGAATTGTTTATAGATGAACCTCCCATAGGTTGCATTTGATGCACATAAATTGGTTGTTTCTCATTGCCCTAGCCACATAGAGAAATGTTCGAAGTGTTGTTTTCCATCCACAACATTCACCTGCTACTTTTACACGTCCCCTTAAAAACGAAAATGAGTCACTCCCAACAACCGATGAAGCAAATCACTTGCAAAAACGAACAAACAATAGATCTCCTATGAGGGCAAGCTACACAGCCATCAAAAAGCAGGCTCTGGGCGCACACCGCCAGAATTACCAAACGCAGTAATTGCACCAATGGATAAAGGATCACAAACATGGTGAAACGAAACCGTATTTTACACCCATTGCGCGTCTTTTTTCTTTTTGGAACGCAATAGCGTAATTGAATGATCAGGGAGATGATCAATCCGAGCATTGAACATTCTCTTCTTCCCCGTAGGTATGTTTAAGCCTATGATCGATTACTCTGCAATGCCATTAGTGTTAGTTCCTACTTCTCTTCAGCCTCCAAGTTATTCCCTTCATATATTCACTATCACAGATACTGTTACTGTTTAGATGTTACTGTTCAGCATTTCTTACTAAGTGGCCATTGTAGGAATATTAGGTAGCATTTTCTTTCCTTTTTTCCCAGCCTGACATTTGATTTAGCATACGTTTGCCGAATTTGGCTACAGAGTGATGCAACCCAAATTCAGTGCAGGCAGAATCAACTAAAATCAGGGAGTGTGCATTGCTGATGCAGAATGCACTTAGTTTTGATGGAAGAATGTGATGCGCCTCTACCGTATTTCATGGCTATAAACAATTATCTTTAGCGACGGAGAAAACCGTCGCCGAGTCAGGAAAGGTCGCAAAGTACGTTATGGTATTCATTTACTGGTCGCTAATTCCTTACGTTTCGTTGCTAAAGATAGTGATTGTTCATCGTTGACATACGGGTGGAAAAGGAAAGGAGAAGTGAGAATCGAATTCCCAACCATATATGGAGAGATGATGAGCTTTCCCTTTTGATTGTTAGAAAAAGAGGCCACATTAAAAAGAAGAATATATTAAGTTCAAAATGGTAAGAGGATGAGGAGGAAGAAGAAGGGCACATTTGGGGACCAGATACTTTCCCATTAACTGCAAATATTATTGGCAGCTGGAGAAAAAATTAGAAGGGGATCGAATTCTTTTTGTTTTTCAGAGTCCCAAATCATTGTGTCTTGTTTGTGGAGCACAACACAGACTCTCCTTTTTGACATTGTACATGTCGTTAATCATGGCTATGCTCCAATTCAAGATCAAGTGCTGATCCATTCACGAGAGAGATGAGGTGTTGTTGTTGTTTTTGATATATAGTATTGTGTTCCGGTAGATAGGACGTTAATTACCGATTTATCTCCGGATCACGACAATTTTTGGTTCGGTGTTTGGATTCTAGAAAAATATTCAAATGAGTGATGTTAAAGCATATGATCGATTACAATCATATTTTGAATTTATTTCAGGTGTTCTTTTGAAGTAAAATGAACGTAGTACGTTTATAACTTATAGAAGATTTTAGGAGTCATCTCTCAAATTCATTTATTTGGCCCTGATAGACATCTGGTGTTCATTACTAGTCGAGAGGACAATTATTTTCTGAACACAGTCCCATTCTCGTTCCATCCGGCTCATTTCTTCATATACACAATGACTAATAAAATAACTACAGTTAACAATTTTAATAAGCGAGTGGTTCACTATATTGTAAAAGTAGGCTAAAGAATCAGTTGATCATCGTTTTGTATGGTCGTCAATTAATGCCCAGAATACTGCGGTATCGTAATGCCACAAGTTGTAATTAAATAAAAAGTATGGATTAGAGAGAGCATTGTTGTAGTTTAATTAAAGCACAAGCAAAAGCAACCCTAAACCACCGGAATTAAGGGGGAAATTGCGGCCGGCTGGATTCAGTGCACACTAGAGAGGGAGGAGAAGGACACAACAATTCGGAGGGACCCGTGATGCTCATTTCTGTCCATATTGTAAGTTGATCAACCACATTATTGGTGAATCCTGGCGTGAACAGTGGATTTATATACGCAGTAAACATGCACCATGGTCGTTCTTAGCCCCACGCGGTATTAAGGCCCTCGAGAGCAAGAACAAGACAAAGAAGAAGAAAAACAAGTTCAATACTATACTCACACTAATTGAAAAATGGACTGATACTTCAATACTCATACTAATCTCCGACTAAACGCGAGTTGGATATCATTCGCATGGGTAAAGGTGTGGAACATGTTGACCCAGTTTCACATGTAATGTGAAGAGAGAGAGAGAAAAACTGCAAAAAACTCTTAACTATTTTGCGATAAATCAAAGATAATACACTTCACAAAATAAAAAAAGAGATAATGTATTGAATAATTGAGTTTAGTTGGTTAAAAAATAAGTCTTGCACTTATTTATTTCATTAATGTAAAAATATGATTTAATAAGAATGATTAGTTTTTTCTTTTGTTTTTTTTTCATTGCTTGCTTGCTCTACTACTGGTTGAGCTGCTGACTTGTTATTTTCTACCTTTGTACTTTCATGGATTGGTTAGTTTCTTATAATATTCTCATCATTCATAAAAAAAAAATAAGAATGATTAGAAGAGAGATACATGTAGATATTGAGTCTTATCAATATAGGATGCGCCAACAATAAATAAGGAGGATGAAGCAGAACATATGACGGAAGTAGTATACGTTCTACACTCCATACTACTACGGATACGATGAAACCCGACCCAACCAAATTGGATCAAATCAAATTACACGAATAAGGTCTGAAATTTGCATCACTAGCTACCTACAATTAGCCTACTATTTTCTTATGGCCAATCAGAGGTTCTTATTTTTGTTAAAGGGGGGAGGAAAAGGCAGAGAACAGTTTTCATGGGAAGTGGATAAAATAAAGAGTGGATCGACAGCAACATATATCATTATTAATCCAGTGATCTTGCACCACACTTGTTGGGGAAATTTTCTACTGGAAATTTGACATTTGAGAATGACTGAGTGGCCTGATTAATTAGCTCTCCCCTTGAAATGATGCCTCTTTGTTGCGGTTGAAATTTCAGTGTCATGCACATTGATGGCTGGTTTGAGATCTGATTACTAACCTTTTCCCCCTGCTTTATTAGGACATGCATATCTAATCTCTTCCTTGCTTGCAATAATTGCGACTTTTCGTTTGCAAATCATTCATATCAATCTTTAATGAAATCGTTTGTCATTATCTTGTCTGTCTTGCCTTTCTTGACACCATGCAGTTCTCGTATAGTCTTGCTTGCACTACAAGAATGTATGTCCATCCGTCTTCGCTTTATGTTCTTTCTGGATGAAGATAAGATGAACTGATATTAATTTTGAGGTAGCCTCGATATGAGGTATTGTCTGAATACGTAACATATATTGATAAATTATGAGGAATTAATTTTTTTTTCATGATGATATCACGAGAAGAGTTTAGCATAAGTATTTGGACATGGAACTCTAAGTACTTAGTGCGAACCCAAGTACTAAGGAGTTGTGTCGGCTCGACACCTCCACTCGATTCTTTTTTAGAAATCTAGAATTCGTCGGTACAAAAAAAAATCAAATAACGGTTGACACACGTGTGCAATCAACTTTGTATTTGTAACTAACACATTTCTCTCGGTCGACACACGTGTCGAAGAATCCTACATCCACCACTGGTTAAAGTAATGCCACATATTTCGTGTTTTCTTTGTCAATTACAATACTTGAATCAAACATTATTTTACAAAATTATCTGGTTAATATTAGGTTTTAATCACAGAAGTCCTCTTCCTCTATCAAAATCAAACGTACAATACGCAATCAACCACAAGAGGACTAGAAGGGTAAAATGACTCCAATTAGGAATTTGAATCCACCCAATATTATCATGGTCTAAGAGTGTTTAAATAATCCAAATTGGGTTACGGAAAGAGGCTTTTCGGCCGTGTCAACCTTGTATGGGCCAGGTGCGTTTCCTTAATTGGGCTGGAGAAGGGTTAAGCGATACTGTGGGCCCGCAAATCGGTTGGCTTTCGTGAAAGTGTCACGGGCTCTGGGTGGGCAGCCGGGCAGTGTTGGTACTGTTGGAGCCTTCGATGAAATCTCACGGGTAGCAATTTGTTTTTTTTTTTTATAGGACTCACGGGTAGCAATTTGGGAAGACAATTTACGGATATTTGCGCGAATTCCAGTTAAATTGGCGTCATAAAATTTAAATTAAAAAGGATTTTAGCGGAATAAATAAAACCTGAATTCTAATATTTGGGTAATGCTTGAACATGATTTCTCGTTATCCAATAGGAATCTCTCCGATATATGCATACATGTGTATTTTATTTTAGAAATGGTTATCATTTTCTCAACATAATTTATATTTAATATACAAATATAATATTTTCATAACATTTTCATAACATTTTATTTTCCCCACTAATTTTCTTCATTCTAGTGATTTATTGTTGTACTTTTTCATATGTAGAATGTCAATGTACGTTTAAATGTCAAACATGTTTGTTGAAGTTATGAAGAGAAAATATTACTCATGATTAATCGTCGATATCCCAAACTTGATATGGAGTGTGCATTAATTTCCTATTCAATTATTGTGTGGGTATGAATATGAAATAAAATACAAACTTAGTAAAATCCAAATTATTCTTAGTAAGGAAAAAAATATATTCTATATGTTTCCAGACTTACACTTGCATCGTCGTACCTACGTACCATACAATGATGCACTAACTATTTAGGTGGAAGTGGAACATTTTGTTCAACGAATAACACTACAAAGAAAGTGTGGGTTCGAAAGATTTGGAAATTGATTCCAGTGAAAGTACGTAGAAACTCGAGATTAGGGCTTTTGAGGAGGTTTGATTAGAACTAATCCCAAGCTAACATTTTTCAACTTTCAATTTTCGCAACAAGGAAATGACAATCAATAATCAATTAATTAAGATTAAACAATACCTGTAATTTGGCAAAAGTGGTGTTGGCTTTTGGGCACCATTAATGGTTTTCGTAAAGAGAGAAGTCTTCCCTTTCCGTTCCCCACGTGGGACTTCCATCGTGAGCTAGCGCGTTGGGTGTTGTTGATTGCAATTTGCAATTGCATACGAGGCGGCGCCCAGCCTGCAGTCGCCTACGTCGATCGCGTTTGCCGCCGGGAAAGCAGATCCTCCCCACGTTGCCACCGGCGACCTTGCCTTCTGGGTCAAGCAATTAATTGTACCTAGTAGGTTACAATAAACTAAACCACCTTACTTAATTAGCTGTATATTACTACAAGCCTATAATGATTAACCAAAACCCCCTTTCTTCCCTAATTAACTGCACACTAGCTAGCTAATCTAGCATGATTAGTTACTGACACCTCCTACCTTAATTAAATTTTGTCGGCATATTACCCCTGCCCTCTGCTTCCTTCAAATCCAACGTCGTCCAATCATGCATAATGAGGTAGTAGAGCCCGATTTCAAAACTTAATCAATTGCCAAACATGGTGCGTATTATTCTACAGTTTAGCACTAATCGTCAACTGCATTCTTAATTAAAAAATATAGTTATTTGCTCACCGACCCACAACAAGAAGAAGAAATGGAGTTAGGGTTTTCATTAATCAATAAAAATACATGTACTTGCTATAGAGAGGGGCAAATAATAATGGGAATTTAGGTCAAGTTCATGAATCAACCCAGAAAGTGCTGTCAGTCTCTGTAGATTTCTAGTTGGTTTAATTCAAACCCCAAAACGCTTGCACGCAGGTGCCAGCCTTTCATTCTAGTACGGCAAAGGATCTGTAATGTAAACATGGAATTGCTTGCCTTTCTTAATTACTTCGAAATTTAAAACAATCGGTTGACCTATACGTGTCCAAGTTGGATACCATGAGCTCTTTCCTTTTCCATGTTACTAATATATATAAGGGCTGTTTTTAACTAATCTTGCTTTGGCCGAAGGATGATGTCGTTAGATCATGCACTTGCACTATATATGGTTCTAATCGTTCAAAATTTCATGTATATAATTTCGTTATGTGATTTGTATGGACGAGGTCAAATCTAAGATCAAAATTTTTGCTCCAACACAAACTCTAATCAATCTTCTAACCGAACTCAGAGTACAATGTGCATGTTCTACACCTCCTACACGTGTAGAAAACACTTTCGTACTACTGCTCTTGTTTGCTATACGTAGGATGTTGCCAAATCTACATCATTTGATCTTTTTTTATATGACCGCACTACGTACACCAAAAACATGAACTCCCACCAACCCAAATGTATCAAACACATCAACAACACGAGACACAATACTATGCCACCATAAAAAAAGAGACGCATAACATGGAAACCATCAACTGTTAATCTACCATAGAGCTGGACACTAATTAACAAGGTAACAATTTTTTTGGAAGTGTTAGCTTTAGCTTATTGTTGACTTTTGAAATTTATTGTTTACTTAATTAACTACAACTCAAATATACCCAGTCTTCTTCTGCCATTTGTCTCGAATCTCAATTAATCAATTCCATTAATTATAATAATGTTACACCATCTATGATCTAGCAATGCCCAAGTGAGTCTTGTCAGACCACCACCTTCCTTCCCCTAAGATCATGGAATACTTAATAATTATATTACACCATTAACAAATACCCTCACAATTATATATATATACATACACACACACATACACAAAACCATTATATCCCTTGCCCTACAATCTCGTCGGCGACACTGATCCCTCCCTTCCTTCCCTCTCAAACCAAAAGCCCACCTTTTTCTACCTTCCCGCACAATGGCCGGACTTAACCACCTCACCATTCTCATTACACTAGCAGCCGCCATTGCCATCTCCCTTTCCTTCCACCCTCACACATCAACAGCCTCGGCGGCTGACGTGGACGACGACGTGGAGTACTACACCCTCGACAACCCGACCACGACGAGGTTCCGGTCGCGGAGCCTGTTCCTGAACGAGAGGATCAGGAAAGGGATGCGCTGCTCCCCCGGCGGCGGCAACATCTGCGACGGCGTCCCCGCAAACAACGGGACCAGCCTCCTCTACTGCTGCAAGAACAACTGCCGGAACGTGTACCAGGACGAGAACAACTGCGGCGCGTGCGGGAACAAGTGCGGCTTCGGCCGCAGCTGCTGCAACGGCGCGTGTATCAGCCTGGCGTATGATACCAACCACTGCGGGGAGTGCAACCAGCGGTGCTCTCCTGGCCAGAAGTGCGAGTACGGCTCTTGTGGGTACGCTTGAAAACTTTAGTTTTCGGACGGGGTTAGTGGGGGGGAGAGAGATTATAGTAAGAGATCTTGATGAAATCTCTGGTTTCATTAGGGGATTGAAGAGATGGGAGAAAAGAATACGTTTTACTACGGAGAGTACATATCGGATTGAGGGTGCATACAAATTAATGTCACGTGTGGTGATCTGTAGATCTGATAAACTCGTGTCATTATCACCAACATTTTGATTTACGATTTACCTACGTTTATCAGATTTTTATGAACTACTACTGTGACATTTGTATACACGTTGGAAATTTGGGGTTTAGGTACAAGCATGCATATCACAAGAGTTTACACTTGTGAGAAACTAGTTAAGTGGGCTGCTTTTGGTACTTAGCCAAGAGAGTTTGGTGTTTTGAGTGTTTTGATTTTGGGGTAGTAGCTTAGCGTACGTGGATTGTACATTTACGTGTACATGTTACCCATGTATTGATTATATATTTTTGTGGCTAGCGAGGTAATAAATCAGGAGGAAGTTTGAATCCATCCTTGGGATGTACAATAATTTAAACAAAGGCCACTTTGTTTTTGTTTTTGTTTTAATAATTTGAATTACTGTTTAAATCTCATGTTTGTATGATTCTAACTTTAAGTTGAATTTCGAGCACATACAATTTAATTATGACGGTGTCAGTATGTGATTCAGGTTACATAATTCAACCGATATTTAACCCCATCTTGTTGTAACTTAGTATGTAATGAAGCTTACTTATCATTTATCAATATAGATATTTTTAATAATCTAATAAATAATTTGCTTTCTCGTCAATGGTGTATGGTATTTATCCTACAGGGGAGGGCGGGAGGCTACAATTGTTAAGCTAAAACTTTTGTGGGATTAGGAAATTACTCGACGCTCAAACTGGGTCCAAGCCCATCAACACAAGCCTGCAAAGATTCAAGGCCCACGAGTCCTCTGTGCAGACTGGGGAGCGAGGGCCCAAAGGAAAATTATCCACTGGGCCCCTTACCTCCAAAGTCCAAACTAACACAAAATGAACATGCAGTTGCCGGGTGTGACGTATTTTCATCGGTCGTAATATGATCATGAAACAGAATCTGCATTAACAAGAATCATATGAGGTACAACAACCAATGTCTCGAGACAATTCAGCATCTATAACAGTTTTTACCCGGCTGACGGAAGGAATGAGCTCTGCTTGATTGAGGCTGGTTTATATGTATCGAATGAGCTCCACGGCAAACTTCCCTTTCTTTGTATTGTTTATTTCACCTACCTGAGCTTAACCAGCAACTGATTCAACAAAGCGAAAACCAGAGAAGAAAATGCAGTATGAAACCCAAAAGGAAAATCTAGTGGACGAGAAAAGCTAATTGCTGACCTTCATTCTTCCTTTCCCGCTGACTGAGATGATATCTCCACTCTTCAAATTTGTATTGTTTTTCGTGACCGTGCTCCAATTCACTCGCACATCCCGGTTGCTGCAAGAACATACATGGTTTGTCAACTCCAGACAATTTTAACTTGCAGACGGTTAAGTTCATATCATGGAAATGCCCTGAGGTGGCTTTATGATAGTAATAGATTGATTCATGAAGGAGGTACCTGATCAAATCGACAAGCTTGGACCGAGAGATTTTGAAACCTGCACTGGCCAGGGCATCTAACCTCAGTGATGCTTCTACTGTTCTAAATGTCTTGGTCCTAAGAAAAGGGTAAGAGATGAACATTATTAGTACTCTGTGGCTCAACGACAACAATAGAATGAAAGCACTAGGAGCCAGCAATCAGTTCAGGATATCTCACTGTGGAGGCTGATAATCAAGATCATGCAGGGGTATCCTCGTACATGAAACTGAAACACTTCCGACCTGACAAAGGAGAAATGTGCCCAAGACACAGATAAAGAGAGTACTGAGTGGCAAGAACTCTGGAGCGAACAAGACATAGCAGTTTGATGAACTAAAAACACACAAAAGTTCTGAATTTAATCATACCTATCAGACTGAAATAATAATGCAGATACCAGATAGACAGGAACACATCATGTATCAACTGGGCATCATAACTATGGTCTGGCTATTAATTATGGTCTTGCTCTTATGTTACACAGGTCATGCAAATCAATATTTGACAATTGTTAAGGAAGCAATATGATTTGAAGTAATGTGTGGCGAACCAATACCTTGTTTAATGAGGAAGTCATAAAGTCAACAAGTTCTGGAACCACTAAAAATTGTGCCCCTTTACCTCCCTGGAAAATATTTCATCAAAGAGAAAAGGAGGAACAATAAGTGTCTAGCCACCAAGCAACATTTTCAAGCAAAACTGAAGAAGAATTGTCATCTTTGTGTTCCAGCCAGTGTTTTTGTTCTACATTCGGGTATCCAGTAATTACATAGTGCCCTTTGCGCGATAACATTTAGTATGAGGTATCAACAAAAACATTAGCCATCAAGAACTGTTTTCTTATGAAATCATCAGCCATCAGGAACTTATATATGCTGGCAGCAGTTATATTTCTCTAAATAGTAAATCCAGCCAGCAGGTAAGAAATGGCGAAGCTTCATGTGCAGTTTGTCAGCCAGAATGTTCAACCTGACTAATCTCAGGACCACCAACCTAAAGTATAACTAATTTCCAGCCTAAACTCAATGTTGATGATGGTTGCAAGCAATATTTATGGATTGCCCCAAATTCACACAAGGCCCATCCCACTTGTTAGAAAATTGTCTTAAGTCAATTGATAATGTCATTGCAAGGAAAAGCAAATGCGAAGCAAACAGCATATCCATAGACAAGATCCAGTTTGACCCATATATTGCAGTTGATGCATGTTCACATGCCGTGATAGTCAATTTATACTGTGTTGTGCTCATAACTGGCAGGTTTTATCTACTTCTTCTTCTAGTGGTTTCAAACACACACACACACACAAAAGTGTTTCGAGAAGAAGTTGATAAGTTGGGCAAACAATATAGCTCAACAACATACCTCCAATAGCAACACATCCCCAAACTTTTCCCTGACAATTCCTGTACCAAGAATTGAACCTAAGAAGTCACCATGAGTACAGGATACGAATCCAAAGTTTCCTGTTATACTGAACAAAGCATAAATATCCATGAAAATATACATTTAAGGACAGGAGCACTTGAAACCTTAGCGATTTCCAAAAATGAAAACATAGGTAGCTTGTGGCTTACCTCAATGCTGCAACCGCATCTGCATCCTCGTCAGCAATTACTTCAGGATGCCCAATTGAAATCCGGCAACGCTCAGCCTAGGATGTTTTCAGATGCACATGAGCAACTAACCCAAGTCTAAGAATTGATGCAGCAGGGCACAACACAAACCCGAAACCAATAGCTTTAACCTGCGGATATCCTCCTTGGACAACTGCTGTAATGTCAGCCAGTTTCTCCAACGCCAGCATTGACTCTCTCACTGTTGGTGGTGTGAGAAAATCGGTATGGAGAACTTGTCTATCACGTGTAGCCCTTGTAGCCTGTGAAGATTATATAGAATAGTCAACCATGAATCCCCTAACTGAATACCACTGAACCTGAAATTTTGACTTCGGTGGGGTGGAAAAGATGACAGCTTTCTGATATGCATATGATGCAATGGAAGAAACAAGACCATTTTCAAAATACAATACTACCATTTCAAGAACGTGTTTCACTTCTTCAATGACGGCTTTATCTGCTACACCGTTGAGCAACCCATCAACTTGACTCTTCATAGCTTGTGCCGAGCTACAAATGCCTGAAAAAAACAAAACGCAATAAAAGATGCAAAAACAATCACTTGCACTGTTAAGCTAACCCCTTTAATCACTATGCGACTGTGAAAACTTGATATCGAAAGGACTTTCATCGAACACCATCATCTCACCGAAGGTTTCAATCAAATTCGAGAGGAAGAGGCATTGGCAGCCCGATTGGACGTAATTTGTAGACCACAACAGGCAATAAAACAGAGGAAGAACGCGGTCAACACAAATCGCGAACCTGATACTTGTCGGCTCGGAGGAGGCGAGGCCACCGGAGGTAAGCGAAGGGTTCCATGGAAAGAGAGATTCGAAGACTTAGGGAAAGGCTGAGAGACGAATGCGAAGTGTTGAAATGCCTTCCGTAGAAGCCACGGGGCTGCAGTCGAGAGGGTGAAGACCATTTTCCAGCCAAACCACAAGTTGTAGTGGGACGGCGCAAGCAATTGCCAAAGCAGAGCTATTTAGCGGGGATTCTGTGTTCAACCAGCCGGTTTTGCTATTACGGCCTTACGGCACGGGTGGATCATTTTTTTTTTTTTGGTGAAAGCACGGGTGGATCAATTGCATAGACGGCAACTGAACTTTGGGTTCTAAGTGATTTGGAAAAGTTACGTCTTAGCTATTTTTGTTAACCTTATCTTAAATTTGAGAAGTAAAGTTGAAGTTATTGGAAATGAATACTCAAAGGAATAAGTTATTAAAGGTAGTCTTATTAGATTGAGTAGATTCACGAATTTGATATAATTTATGTGAGAATTGAGAAGTGTTGCTTTGAGAAAGACGCACAATTATCAATAATCGAAAGATTCTTAGTCCGGAAGTAAGCATTCAATCATCCATCCCCTTTTTAGCGTTAATCGTGAGAGACAATCGTTGACGGTACATGATTCCCACGAAATAGACATAGCCGTTCATCGTTTGGTGTGTTTATTGAAGCATTCTCCACCACCATCAAGCTCATCCAACACCTAAGATCTTTTGTATAATTTTTGAGCATTTTTCCCCATTCTTCGAATATATGAGAGTTTGTGAATAAGTTGTCAAATTTATCAATACTATTTACACATTTTGAGTAATAATTTTATAAAAATATTACGAGTAAGAGTAATGTAAACATTTTTTTCTCTCTCAACAGTCACTTTACTTTATTATTTTGTCATATAATCCACAATAAAAAGGGAGATGCAATGTTACCGACCCCATTATATAGACTAGTCAATAACCAAACACACTTAACCCCATCACTATTTGAAGTTTGAACTAAATAATAAGTGAGCAAACTCTGTAGATAATACTAGAATACATATACAATTTAAATAGATTAATGCTAAGTATTTGCATTATTTCGTAATATTTCCTTCCTAATTTGTCTATTGTTTTTTTAGATTACTTAAATGTAATAATTTTTTTGTTGTATTACATTTACTTTTCAGAAGAAACGTCAAATTTTTTATTAGGCAAGTTTATGTAGATGGATATTGGATACATAATAGATTTAATATTGAGATTTTTCTTTCTTATTTATTTCCTGTAAAAAGGAAAGAAAAGGAAAAAAAAAGGAAAAGCTTCTAACTGAAACTGAAAGTGAAAGTATGAAACTAACATTTGCGCTTTCTCTCTCTTGCCGCTCCCTTTCTTCGTCTTTATGTAGAGACGGGCAGAGATCACTAAAAATTCAGGGAAAGGGAAAAAGAACACTCAGGGAGCTAAGAGAGAGGAGGGAGAGAGAGAGAGTAAGATGGGGAGTGGTGTCTGAGATCTTCCTCGCTGTGCTTTGCCAGACATTTCAAGGCAAAATTTCGATACTTTGGCGCCCTTTCTCTAGAGGGTCTTCTTGTTCTCTCCGAATCTCTCTTTCCCGATTCCCGTCTCCTTCCCTGCTGTGCGCTGGTAATACTCTTCACTGTTCTGTGATTCGCGTCATCGTTTCATTTCCCCAATTGCCCTTTCTGAGTCTCTTTCTTTCCGCTTTCTAGTCTTTTTTTTTTTTTTTCACTCTCTGCTCTGTACATCAGCTGGTTTTGGATCATCTTTGTTCTCTTAGCTTTGATGGGTTCTTATTACTTTGTCGCAAATGTTGTATTTGATTCTATCTGCCTATAGATGGTTGATCTCTCTAGAATTATGGTTTTCTCTGATGCGAATTTGGTCTGTGATCTATGGTGATTGGGCTTTCGTTTGTTTCGATTTGGGGTGTTACATTGATATTACTGGTTCAATTACAATCCTTTCTCGTTCAGACTTGGGTGTTTGCACATGCATGATACGATGAGTCGGCTGATTTTCTGTATCTTCCTGTCCATGATTTATTCATGGTCCGTGCTCAGACCTTTGGGATATGAACGGAATGTAGCTAGTTTACTTAGGTCTGTATTCCGTGCATGTTATTGATCTATTTGTATTTGTGCGAGAACTTGTGCAAATACTTATATGAAGGGGTAGTTGAAAGTATGGGATATAAAGGAGTTTTTATTTTTATTTTGAGGATGTTGGTGTTCTCTTATCTTGTAAAGCTGGTTTTTTTGGTGTAGAACAATGGGCGTTGAGGTTGTTGTAGCATCTGATGTGGCCGCTCAAGTTCCAATTGATGCTGTGACCGAAGTTGAAAAGTCAATTCTGCATGAAATGGAGAATGGGGAAATGAATAAAGGGTCGGCACCAAATGAGGCCATCAAATTCGGTTCTGATAGATGGGAGGTAGAGAAGGGAGTTGGGACCGATGCAGATACCGAAGCTCGTAGGAACGCTGTTGGTGAGTGGCCTACTAGTGACGTGGTCCATGTTTTCTACTTCCCAAAGATATTGAAGGCCGATAATTCCAGATATAGGCTCCAAATTGAAGAAGTTGATAGGGAGATAACAAAGAATCATGAGTCTTGGTATCAGGCTAGGGATCGTCTGAGACCCTTAAAGGTAAGTTGGTTAGTTTTGGTTTGTGGTATATCATGTGTTATCTGCTTGATTTAGTCATCGGTAAACTAATTAATCGCCGTAGTCAGTTTTTCTTTCTTTCTTCATGTTATCATTTATTGCGATGATTCCTTCAGAAGCTTGTGATCCTACACGAGCTCAGATGCATTACACGATAACCTACCAAAACATTTTCTTTTAATTTCTTTTAACATGATTACTTTATGGTTAAAAAATTATTAGGTTCCATGCATGCGTTCCAAGCTTTCTTTTTAGAGCCATTGGCACCTGTGCTGCTGAATTTTGCTCCAGCTTATGATTGGGGCATCATGTCCCGTTTTGGTGTTTTCCCCTCACTCATGGAAGTTTGGGAACCATAAGATCCTTGTACAAAATGTAGTGGTCAGTAGTTATAGTGAAATTTATGTGCATGTAAATGTGTTAAAAACTGGTGCATATGTTTTAAGTAAAGAGAATTCAAAAGAAAAAAACTGATGCAGTGTGGATGATACTGAAATCTTCACCTTAGTGGGCTAAATCTCTTATTTTCCATATAAACCGTTGGATGTGGGAAGGTATACACTCTTGGCATCTTGGAAATTTATAGAGCTAAAAGATTACCATGGAGAGGCGACTTTTAGTTTGCGTAGTAGTCAGTGATCATGCTTGCTGTACAGGATGCTCGATCAGTGGTGGTTGGCGAGCTGAAGGAATTAAGAACTAGGTTCTATGACCTAAAGGACATCATGGGTGATAAGAGAAAGGAAATGCAGCCTCTGCAGCAGGCATTGGGGAAGCTCCAAAACAATAGTAATGGTCATGGTGGTATATTCACATCAGAGGAAGAGCTCGATGAAGCTGTATGTTGTATGCTCTTGGATTTGTAGGATAATTTGTCATCTTATCTAACAATTTCCATAGCTTTAATAAATAACTGTTCTGATTTTCGTTGCTAACTTTTCTTAATAATTTACATTGTAAGTTCAGATACGCCGCTTGCAGTACTACATTCAGCATGAAAGCATCCCGTTGTCTGAGGAAAAGCAAGTACTCAGAGAAATAGCACAGCTAAAGGGACAAAGACCAAATATTATTGCCAATGTTGCCATGAGAGCGAAGATTCAGGAATCAATGGGTCAGAAAGATGACATTCAAGATCAGGTCAAAGTAAGTGTTGTGTGCTTTTATTTATGCTATTGTCTCCTTCCTTTCTCTGTGTATATATTCGATCAGTTATGACCTTTCTGGAACCATGATGAAGCTCACATATATAAAACAAAGTGTTGTGTTATCTGACTTCTGATGTGCTATTTATTTTATCTCTTTCATCTCTGGCACGCCTGTTTATCTCGTTGAACGTCGTGTTGTAGCATATGAATGTTGATTTCGATGGACTGAAGAAGGAGCGTGATGCAATGTCGGAGAAAATTAAAAAACTGAATGCAAAAGTTGAAGCTTTAGACGAAGAGATTAAAGTTATCGAGGAGGAACAAACAGCTATTAGGCTGAAGAGGGATGAGCTTCTTGTGCGGCTTGGAAAATTAAGGGCACTAAGTGATGAATTGGTATGTATCTTCTCCTTCAGTAGCTAGTTATAACATTTCAAGCTCTATCTTTCTCCTTAAGTTCCCTTTCATTTTATGTTGATCCTTGTTCATTCTCAAGTTGGTTTTGGCGTTCCACCATGTTCTTCAAACTAGGGGCGGGCTTTAGATGCAGTACTTGCTTTCTGGTTATTTTGGATCTCATATTTGACAGTGCTGCAACTGAATGGTTTTCGTAGGCATGCAAAATGCATTTGGTCTACAGCAGTTTGTTTTGTCAATCATTTTCATCCAAACTTGTCTAAGGTTTAGTTTAGTTCCCTTCTGGTCTGTAGTCTCTCATTTGGCCTTGCTGTTGTGCTGTACATTGATACTGTACTTTTGCAGTGTCTGAGTCTTAATGCTACATAAAAAGAACGACCTTAATTTGTCCTGTTATATGAGTTCACATCTCTATTGTTGTCCGGCATAGAAGTTATACTATGCAAAAGAGCAGCTTGAATGTTAGCCTTGGCTGATTTCTGAGTACTTCAACCTATCAATGAAAAAGACTTCTTGATGTTGCATCTCTACTCTTTATTTGTTTTACAATCCAGAAAGTCTTTTGGTTTGTTCTTACTAATAGTCTCTTTCTGGTTATGACACACTGATTAATTGGGTTCTCTTCTTCGTCAGAACGCACCACATCTTGCTTTGCGTGGGATCCTGAACCAAGCAAAACAACTTGCTGTTAAAAAGGATGCGCAGGGTATTCAGCAGCTTGCAAATGCAGAGGTATGTTCATCATTTACTACTTGTCTAGTCTTTATCAGGGGATTAAAGGCGTCTGTTTTAGCGTTTTTCTAAAACTCTAGTTTAAGGTAAGTGGCAAAAAAGTGCATTTGGTGGGATTAGGAAAAGCAGAGTTGATGTGGTGAAATATTTTTTAGAAGCAAACAAGAAACCAGAAAGGTGCAATATCTTAATTTTATTTTTGAAGCGACTTTTAGTATTGAATTACCTGTGGGTTTAGGGTTAGTAAGCTTTTTTTAGCTGGAACAAACAAGATCCCTGAGTCTTGGTCCAGAATACCAAGGTTCTAACTTTTGCTACTCAATTCTACCTGTAAGATGGAGAAGTTTATGTTGCAATGGCGCGAGAAGGCCTTTAGGGACGATTACGAGAAGCGACTTATTTGGAATGAGTCCCTCGACGAACGAAAATTGACTCGTGATGGCCGAACGAGGAACCCCGATGAGAAGCCTATAGCGGTAGTCATGAGACCGGCCCCTTCCCAGGTTGAACCGATGGTCAAGCCCCTTAAAAGGCCCGAGGAATCTTTACCTGCTAAAAAGGTCCAGAAAAAGACGGAGCAAATCGAGGAAGCCGAGGATGAGGTGGCAGGATTAGAAAAGATACAACAAAAGACTTTACCACAGGTTGATGCAGCGAAGTTGAAGGAAATGAAAAGAGAAGAGGAGATAGCGAAAGCTAAGCTAGCCATGGAGAGGAAGAAGAAGCTGGCTGAGAAAGCTGCTGCTAAAGCTGCCAAGAGGGCTGAGAAGGAAGCCGAGAAGAAGCTCAAGGTAGAGATTACATTTGGTCTTTTTTGTTGATTTCATTTGTTGTATTTTTCCTTTCCTCTTCCCATTTCCATATTTAATGTTTGTCCTTGCCCGTTTCTTTCAGGACCGGGAAAAGAAATTGAAGAAGAAGACCGCAGGCTCTGGATCGTGGAATGAGGAGGATAAAGTAGGCGAAGAATCTGTGGAGGAATCAGAACCGGAAGAAACAAAGGGGGCTGCTGCCCCTGCCCCTGTGAAGGAGCAAGTTAAGAAGGAGAATCCTGCCAGGTACAGGAACCGACCCAGGAGCTTGGAAGCGGTACCCAGAGCTCTTCTGAAGAAGAAGAAGTCGATCAACTACTGGTTGTGGGCTGCTCCTGCTGCCTTGCTAGCTGTTTTCTTGGTGTTCCTTGCGTGCTGCTGTCTTCTCTAAATGAAGCGGCAGTGAGCAGTAGTTATGGTGTAACTAACTAATGCTGTCCTTTTCGTAATGGAGTAGAGTTACAGACAGAGAGGGTAATGGAGGCTTGGTCTCATTCAGCTTGCATCTGCAGTGGTGAAAGGGAACTTGGTCCGGAGGTTAGAGCCGACTTATGATGACCAGGGAGTAGCTTAGTTTTCAGAGTAGTTAGGGAGGCTGCTAAAAGATCAGGAGATAAAAAAAGGAACAATTTAGGACAGTAACTATATAGTGTTTTCTTCTTTTTGTTCAGATTTTGTTGTTTTCAAATTTTGAGAAGTGACTTATATTTTATTCATTTGTGTTCTGATGTTTGTTTTTGGGTGACTTGTTATGCAGCAAAGGGTAGTTGTTCAAAGGTTCTGAGAGCTTTTTGCATCTTCTGGTAATTTGATATGTTATAATGTCTTGCTATGTGGCAAAAATAAAACTAGCCTAGGTGGTTGAGTTGGTCCTGAAGAAGGCCTCGGATTCGAATCTAGTGACGTTGGCTGGAATTCGGTCAATGAACTCGATGAGTCTATATAACAAAATTTCATTGATGACCAAACCTGTGGCAGACTCGATTCCATCACCTTGGTTAATTTTTCTCAACAGATTACATCTGCCAACTTTTCATCATATAGAAGCTCCTATTTCATGATTTCTGTGTTTGGTTCAGATCCGGGATTGTGAAGTTGGAAGATCATCATGTTCCTTCTTCATTTGCGTTTGATTGAGCTGACCCGAAGGAGATCTAGCCTTGGGATATCCAGAACTGTGTAAATTTGACAATGGGACGAGAGACATCGACATAGGTTAACTAGGCGAGAACTAAGATGAAGGCCGATGAAGTTGTGAGGACAATGTGAATCATGTAAATCATTTGAAAACCTTAGCATGACAACTTGAACAATTTCTTATATGAGATCCCTTGTGGATCCGAATGGAACTGATCAAACCAACTCACATCCGATACAATTCATCAAATGGAATAGAATTGCATCATTCCCATTATTCCAGAATCTGGATCAGAACAGGATAATAAGAGGGGGAAGGCGATGCATACAATTAATCAAATAATTGATAGCTTGAACAGCAAACAACGAAGACAGACATTGGAACCCAGATGGTGCAATTACAACATCTCCACACATTATCAATTATTAAGCCTCACTATCGATCATTACTCATCTCCTTCACTTGTTTTTGGCCTTGTGTTGTTGTGGCAGCTACTCTGTTTTTCCTTCTTTAGCAGCAGCAGCAGCAGCAGCAGGTGGAGCAGCTTCCTCCACCTTTGGGGTTTCAGCAGCTGCAGCTGCCTTTTTGCCCTCCTTCTTCTGCTTCACATCATCAGATGGCTCCTTCTTCTTGGCACCTGCCTTGGGCTTCATGAAGCAAAAGCAAGAGCAGCATGGACACTGGAACAAGAACTTCATTATCCCCTCTCTCTCCCTCTGCTCTCTCTGAAATTGCTCACTGAGTTTGCCTTTCAACTACCGACTGAAATGGTAATGTGTGGATAAAGTGATAGCTTTACCATTTTTTTTCTTTCTTACCGTCTAGTGGTTTCGATATAGGATTCCGATCCAGTCGCTTTCCAGCGGTAGAATTTTGCTGTAGATACTATGGCATGAGACATAATGGCAGCCAGCTTTCTGCGCTAGCTAGCCTACTCTGCACGAGACACAATAATGGAGGGTGGGGTTGGCTCTCGTTGACATTAGTGCACTCCAGTACTAGCTTGAAGCTCAAATCATAGAGTCTACTAGTGGTTAGTCTGGCTCGTAGGATGCTGTAATTTGGAGAATTGTGGAATTAACGGATTCTGTACATTTTATTGTTTGGATGCAGTTTTCGTAGATTTAAAGATAATCGGAACAATCACGAAACTCTAACTACAAACCGTGAAGATCTTACTTCTTACCCACTCTTCACATCCAATTCATAATTGAATGAATACGTACTGATGTTTGTACTTCTTCACTAGAAGCCTTACCAGTTACCAGTGAATGAAAGTCTCCGTGATTTTATCTCGTATAGATGTTGTCCGTCCTAAGGGTCTTCGAATTCGCGTTTTGTTACATCTAATGGCTCATACATGTTACATATGTGGCGGTACGAAACCAACCAGTATAACTCAATGATTCTGTTTTTAGGCTAGGATGCATATGTTGAGTTGTGACAGCGCTGGGGAAGAAAGTTCACATCATAATCAATACCATGATCCATGAATGAATTGGATCCGCTTCAAATATCAAATTTCCTTCAAGATTGAATCCTGAACAACATGGTGATCATATGTTTGTGATCAAATGTACTTGGCGGCAAGTTGGAGGAGATATTCAGACAGGAGACTTGGTTGGGAAAACATGACCATGTGGTCGGAACCAGGAATCACGACGTGTTCGTCCGGAGGGTTGTTCTCAATGAGCCACCACTGGAAAGCGCCGTCTTTTTCCTCGTCGCACACGACGTACGCCCTGGCAACGGTTCCGTACCTGTCGTTGGTCAGCACCGTGTCTCTCGCAGCTTCTTCTGCGTCCCAGATCGGACATGGCCTCACCAACGTTATTCCCAGCTCCAGATCCTGCGTATAATATATGGACGCACAGGTCAACATCGATATGCCTGTAACTGTGGTGGCCGGCCGGCCGGCCGGTAACTTTTACCTGGCGGGGAGAGCAGCGGTAGAGATGCGTCTCCATGTGCTTGGGGCCGAGCAAAAAGCCTGTTGGAGGTTTATCTGGGCCATCCCCATATATCACTTGGGAATCCATTGTGTCCGCCGTCGGCGACAATTCAACAAACTGAAAAGAACACAGGGATCCTTTGATCAGAGTCCAGTGAAGTTGAAGTCAGAGATTCAAAGGGATTATAATATAGCTAATTTAGGCAATGGAGTAGTAGATGACTACTAGTGATGGCAAATTATATAACCTGTCTCCCAACCTATATGTGACCGGTATTACCCGACTCGTAGTAGGGTGAGTCGGAATATGGATAATGCTTTCGACTTGTTCATTTCGGTTCGACTCGTTCTATCATGCTTTGTGTCAATATCTATATGTGTTTCTCTTCAATTTTGACTTTTTTAAAATTTGACTTTTTTAAAATCGTATTTCCATCGCAAATACATTTTAAACATTCTATTTTTCCATTATTTAGACTCAAGTATTTATTATACCATATCTCTACTCTAGTTAATTTAGAAATTGTTTTCTCTATATCTTTTTTGAAAGAAAACATTAACATTTTTTTCAAATAACACATAAGAATTTTTAAACCCGATTTGACCTGCACGGGTATCATCCAACCTGACCGCGTTTAGTATGGGCAGATATGAAAATTAACCCATCCGCCCTATCCCGCCCCATTCTCTTCACTAATAACGCCTTAACCCTCCTTTAATTACTACAACCCTTCATTCAAATTCTTATCTCTAATACTGAGCTCAACTCAAATTAATTGGTTCTCGACTTGATAGTAAAACGTAATTTGACAAAGAGATTTTGTATTCAACATATTTTCGGTTAAATTGCGAGAATAGAGAGTCGAAAACTTTACCTTCTCATCCACCATTTGCGATGTCAAATCAGGCCCCAGCATTCCGGCAGCAAGAAAGGCAGCAACAGAGATTTTCTCCGGGAACCTCTCCATGGCCATGCACAAGCTGGAACCGGCCATGCTATGCCCCACCAGAATCACCTTCTCATCGTCACTACCGGCCGCCGGCAGAGAGGCCATGAAGGTGAGCAGCGGCTTGGAGTATTCGACGACGGAACCATGCACATCTTCCACCTGCCGCCGGTCGATCCCACAGGCCGTCAGGTCGAGGGCGGTGACCTTGTGGCCGGCTTGCTTGAGCTCCGCGATCACCTTGTACCAGCACCACGCTCCGTGGCACGCGCCGTGGACGAGCACGAAATGCCTCATCTTCTTCTTCCTGACTTTTCCTCTTTTCTTTTTTCTGGTTTATCTTCAGGGGACCCAAACTGTGAGTTGCATATGCAATGCAAGTGGCGGAGACTTCAATATTTATCTATCTAAATTGGCCGGGCCGGGCCGGTCTGGTCTTGTGAGAAGTTAGAATGGATGGAATTGGGCTGGCCAGTGGCCTCAGGCCGGGCTGCTGGGGTAACTTACAAGTTATTTGGGCCGAATAGAAATGAAGAATGAGGAGAGGACGGAGCCCGAAGAGTGGTGGGCTCCTTGTTGGCAGATTTTGAGGCCCGGGTTTATTAGGGATCTGTGACATATTGAAATCCTAATCTAACCATACATCACTAATAAATTATAAATCTGTGCATCAACATATGAAGTAAAATAAATTGAACATAAATGAATAAATGATGCATAACTTAGTGCATGCATAATAAAGATAAATTAAACATGAATAGTAAACAATATAAGTTTCAAAATTCGTAATTTTACACTATTTTCTTTTATTTTGGTATTGTCGAAATCCACCCGTCTATCAAAACTATGAGGGAAGAAAACTAGGATGAGAGTCCAAAGTGTTCTATTGACGCGCTATTGTGTTGAAATGTGGAAATGAGAAGTTGGAAATCCATTGCCTATTGCGTCCTCACCAAACAACGACCAACTGGCTATGGTTTCCTGGCCCCTTTTATTTTTAAACTTTTCATTGGTAAACCTTCTCGACGTCAACTCTGTGGGTGTCAAAACTTTCCACCCCAAAGTTTGAATTTTGGTCTGTCCAGAGAGAAATGACAAACGGTTAGGTGCTCTGTTTTCGTAGGAGACAAAGGATTAGGTTATTCAATTAGAGAGCTACTGAGCTTAATGTGCATGGAAATCTAGCCTTAAGTTTCCCTCTCTTGGGTCAACAATTAGGTTTACACTTAATTACAGGATTAGTTGTCGGATTTGGTATCCTACACTTCAAATGAAAAGGGTTAAATATATATTGGTTGCTAACTCGACCGGCCGGTCAATAATTAGGATATTAATCATCATACTGGTGTGATTAAGTCAAAATTACTAAATTAGGATATAAAAAAGGATGGACTTGCAGACGAGGTGCTTGCATTCCTGCCTTGTCATTGCATTGTCTTGTTGTACTTGTCCAATATTTTTGTGTTGAAGATGGAAAGTTTTGATCTAACAAGAAAATAGAATGTGAAACAAAGTTGATATAATACTGGTACTAATTCAATGAAAATTAAATACTCGTACTATTTACTTGTTCCACATTGACACATTTTCATTTGTAAGTTGTCATTTTTGACAATACGCTATCACATGTTTGCATTGTACATTCTAATTTGTTGACTGAACTACGTTACTCTACATTGAAATGCTACACCGCATCAACAATAAAAACAGACAAGTGCTTAATTCAAACATTCAAGTAACATTATCTAATAAAAATATACAAATATCGCATTACGCTAAAAATCATATCAATGACCTTGGTACATAGAAATTCACTCATAACAGAAGCTAGAGGATATTCTTCGTAGGACGCATGGACGGATGAGCGATTGAACCACCTACAGGATAGTTACTGGACAGATGCGACCCTTATCTGTTGACAGATGACAGACAGAAGAGCAGGAAGTCACTCTATTTAAAGGAAGGAAATCGTGTACTGAGCTAACATGCCTTGAACTTGAAGTAGGCTCTCCTATATCTGACAATTTTAACTGACCTTGTTACTACAACTAAATTGCCATAGATCGAAACTTAATAAGTTGTAGCATATACTTGTATCCAAAGGTGATTGAGATTCTTTTTGAACAGAGCAATAATGCAGATAAGAACATCAGTATTCTAGATTTTGTGTGGTTGACCAACCATTCTGTTATTACTACTAGCAAAGACCCGCTCGCTACGCTTCGCGCATATTCAAAAATAAAATATCAGATGGAAAAGAATACATATTATTGTGAATCCATGATTATCAAACATAAACACTAAGTCAATCCATGATTATCAAACATAAACATCAAGAAACAGAGCTTCTTAAGTAAAAAAAACAAAAGCAGTGAAGCAAAGTCTCAGTTTGGTTTAGTCATGGTTCTGACATGGCACACTTGAGGACTCTTGAGTAAAGAAAAACAAAATCTGCAGAGTCCAGTTTAGTCAAAGATGGTAAAAATAGAAGCAACTCTTAACACTCTGCACAAAGGCACCAAAAGAGTGGACCTATAATTAAGGCCACCTTTCTATAATAAAATGAGCGGTAGAATACACCGGACATAATTATTATCATCAGTAAAGAAAGTAAATTGAAATAAGAGTGCAACAAAAAAGTGCAAATCATAAAGAATAAGATAAAACCATTCCAAAAACTCGTTGGTATTTTAAAGGTACCATTGAAGAACCGAACTTCGTGTGGAGGAAGGCAGAACAGGTCATAGTGACAGGCCGCAGGCGGACTTAACAACTAATGAAGACTTAATAGAGGGCAAGATATACCGCGTAAGTTGGCGAGCAAACAACAGAACTGATACCAGATCAAACAATGGCATGCAGACGTTGTTGGAAGGTTTGTAGATGTGGAATAAGCATTGTTTTTATAAGGCGCAGGTGCTTTGTTTATAGGTGGGGAGTCCCTGCAGCAAACCAGAGTATACAGCGAGCATCCTGAAAGAAACCTCACAATAGGATGGTAGGACAGGTCCCTACATCTTTGTAGTAGTGCGTAAACTTGGATAACCAAGCAATCAAGACATATGGCAAGAACATGATAGTAAGAAGCATTTTGGAGATACATACACAACCCTAACCCAAGGAAATCAATGACAAACTATATACCTGCAGCAATGGTTGAAGAAGTAGAATCAGGCAACCAACACAATGAGCAAACAAAATATCCAATGATAGTGATGCTAATGGGAATCGATGGCCTCTTCCACTTTTTTTTTTTACTTAATAATCTGGGATGATTGGGTTTAATTGAGAAAATATACACGCCCAACAATGTCTAAGAAATTCCATAGAGCCGATTCACACAGAGAAGAAGCTTGTGTTTCTCTATTCCTGAAGGAACGATAAAGAGGCATCTAGCACAACCGTGTTTAGGAAATCGATCAAAGCATGAGCTGAATACAAATTCGTCAAACACACAATAAATTAAAAGAAGTAATAGGAGAGCCAAAAAAACTCAAATCCTCTAACCATTTGTAGCAACCCGTTCCATTAAACTCTGAATTACTTCTAAGTATTTACTAATGTAAAGCTTTAGTATTCATAAGTCTCAGATCCAACTAATAAAAGGAACCATCAAATTGGGATTAATTAACTCCTATCCAAGGAGCTGAAACAATTTCCAAGGCTCAAAGGGAGCTCAAGAAACATTAATAATAATTCCAAGGCCACAGCAAAACTGAAGAGGTAAATGAAGGAGGGTTGAAAAAGTGTCCATACCATTCAACATTCTAGAGGGAGAAGGCAGGAAAATTTAACTTAAGGCATCTTCAATTTACTTTTACTATAACAAAGATATGGATGCAATTAACGGATGTTAAAGGAGAAAGTCCTTTTGCCACAAACTAACCATTCATGAAACATGCTTTCAATATTATCTTATTTGCCAAAAAACATTTTGTCAAGGTAACCAAGAGCGTCTGAACCCTGTTTTTTTTACCACACACAAAAAGAAAAGAGTCTCAAAACCTCCATCTAACATCATTTCCAGTACTTAGCAGAAACATATATATCTATTTTTCAGTTTACACATTTTTTATAGCACAAATAACTAAGGAATCACAAGTCACCATCTGCTACCATTTCAAAAGTAATGGTAATAAAACATTTCAGTTTAAACAATTTCTTATAGCATAAATAACTGAGGAATCACAAGTCACCATCTGTTGCCATTTCAAAAGCAATGGTAATAAAAACCCCTCAAGAAACAACCATGACCCGTGAACAAAACAACAAAGCATTTTATTGGTTCTTCAATTGAAAGTGAAGTAGTGGACAATCTGGTAGTATCAGCAGCAATCAAAGACAAATTTAAACAACACAAAACCATGAAATGAAACAACTTTCTTCACTGGTACTCTTCAAAATAAGAAACCAAAGACCTAATTTGAATTGATCAATCATAAGGGCTGCTCCAATCAGTCAAGGTCGTAAATCTATTAAACCCAGAATTGAGAGAGAACATAAATGACAAAAGATGGGAAGAAACTAACCACTGCTGAAAAGTGTGCTAGGAAATTCCAGATGGCAGAAGCATCCACTTTAGACCCAATCCAATTGGCACAAACTCACTTCGAGCTTCCTGCTGAATTCTTTTGCTCCAATCTATCCATGTTTGGTGAACTTTGCTTGGTCGCAGTGAGTTCGGATTATATCATCATCCCCTTTACATGCGCCTTTGATGAGCCTCTCCCAACCCGACCACCTTTCCCCACTCCGCGAGCGCTCTTCACAAATAGAGGACGATAAGAGTTCACTATCCAACCTACGATAGTTACAATAGAGGTCAACATAATGGATTGTGGAAATAACATTGTCAAATCAATTTTGAATCAGATGGCACTTATAACACTAAATATGAATGTATTGCATACCATAGGTAAATGGAAAGGGGGAAATGAATTACTTGGTCTTGTCAATTCCCCCACCACACTCCCTTGAACATGCTACTTTCACTTTAATACCCCACCTTACTTCAAGGGTTTCCGTTAGCCTCGGTATCCAGAAGTCTTTCAAGCATTGAACTGAACTGGAACTCGAACTGGATCCTGGAATAAAACCAACAACCATGGGAAAGTGGAAGAGACCTGGCATGAGAGAGGTTGAAAATACAAACTAAAATCCAATAAGGAATAGAAGGACGAACCAAATGCTAACTTGTTTGAAGTCTCCAACTGGTGCATTCCATCTGCAGCAGCAAATGTGATTATCAGGTGGCACATGTCGATGGTAAAATTATAACAACATTACTACTTAGGCAACAACCATGATATCCTCTCATATTTCCCCCCTAAATCATTGTAAGTAAGGCCATCCTCTTCTTATTTTGATAAGCAAAGAAATTGAATAATTCATATGTTAAAGAAAGCAATGATATGTGAGGCTCATGCTTCTGGCAGTATACCATCCTGGTATGATTGATCGATGGAGCAATACTTCCTATGTCTTTCTTTCCATGATAGTAATTATACTAAAGCTACAGCAACCCAAAAGCTACATCATAAGCTATGAAAGCGAGTTAAGATCAGTAACATAGAAGATAAGTCAGAGTAATAGGTTGGAGGTTTAAGCAATGAAATCCATCGTACCAATAGATAGAATATAATTCTTTCTATTTTGCTATTATCGTGGAAATCTTGAAAGTCTATGCAACTTTGAGAATACAACTATGATAGAAAAAAGAACTAACATATTAATTCAGATTTTACAGTTGGCTTCAAGAAACAAAAGGAATTAGATACAGATAGAGAAAAGCAGGAGCTTCATCATAACCCCATTCGTTGTGGTGTACATAAGTTTGAGAGATATCCAATAACCCATGGAACAAAAGCAACTAAATAGAAAGAAACAAAATGCTTTATGTAGTTGCAGCAAACCACCTGGGATCTAACTAAAAACGCATATATAAAAGGGGCCTATAGCATGAATGCTTACATACACGGTTAAAATGATAATACAATTAACTATAACCTGTTTTTTTTCCCCCTGAAACATTATCTGGCTGAAGCATGAAAAAACATGTATAACCTACTGAATTGACCATATAGGCACAACTTAAAAGACAGCAACATAATTGTTGAAATGACACCTATGGCAGCACAATTCTCATTGCATAATCAGGTTCAAATGAACATACTTGCTAAAATAAGGAAGAGAAGATCACCTTGCCAACATCTCGTTGATCCTTGAACACAGCCTTTTCCTAGCAAATCTCAAATGGATTGTTTTCATACTCATATAAAGTTTGTACATGATAACGCACTCTGTTTGTTCTGTCCAAAACTTGTAGCTTAGGCGGCTCCCAAAACCACCCACCAGGAGCTCTAGCAAACCTGTTACCCAGAGAACATCAGCACACAACCATGATGTTTGTATACTATTGAATTAAAATGGAACCATTGCAAAATCTGGTTTCTTCCTAGTACTTACCATTGATGTTACTATATACAAACTCCAAAATTTGTGAGAAGCAACTGAACACTGAACTTGTAACCTAACCACAAAGTAAAAGTCTACAAAAGAATCTTTGCTGGAAACTTAGGAAAAATGGTAGAGGCTGCAAGTGTTCCTTGGTGTGATTCTAAAATGGGGAAACACAATAACTAAGATAAGGCACAAAAGCAGATATCATACAACCAATCAACAAAATGGAACTCAACCTTACCATCATCTGAATCACTTTGATTTGGGTGAATGGAGAGAGGAGCAGAGAACTTTGTTGTAGTCGCCAGTCGGCATTCTTCTCATCGTTGTCACCTTCCGCAACAGAGCTGCCAGAGCAGGATCTCGAGCTGGCGTTGGTGCGTATTCCTGCATCCCTTTTGGCATTGGTAGACTCCGCTGAGTTCAAATCTTCCTCGTGTTTCCTCCATGAAGAAGTCCGTCGACGCCATGGGCTCCTCTTCAACTTCTCAGCGCCAGCGATACCCTTCTTCGTCTTCTTTTAAATAGCAAAGACATCGGAACCTGAGATTCCGCCGAAAAGGGAGAGAGCGATAAGTGAACCTCCGCCGCCGTCATGTTCTCCTCTTCAACTTCTTCCTCAACGTCAACGATTTACTTTCCGGCGAGCGTGACATAAGCCGGAGAGCTTCGGAGGTGGGATTCAGCCACCGAGTTGAGATGAGGAGGTGAGATTAAGGGCGGAAGAGAAGCTATAGCTGTGATTCTGTGAAAAGAATGTGCGAGGGCAAAAGAATAGAGGCAAAGAAGATGAAGGAGCTTGCGTGTGGGTGTGGAAGGAGATGGAGAAAGGTGGTCTCTGTTGGTGAAAAGCAACTATGAGTGAGAAAGTGACAGGAAGTAGAATACAACACACAAACCCATTGGATAATAAATAGATCCAAGGGTTCTAAGCTGGCGAGTGGGGTAAGAGAATTTTCTCTTAGCTTTTGGGTCTTGGGAGTTGGATTGGTGACTGAGTGGTTGAGTAACAGATGGACGAAGCCCACTTGCGGTAGAGAAACTGAGGGCCACTAATGAACAGTGATTGTAACCAAGGCTTTTATATATTAATTAATTTTCTTATTTCCAAATCTGCTGAAAGAGAGACTACTTTCCCTTTCAAACTTAAATATCGATCTTATGTTTAACACTGTTGTCTGTTGATTACCTCTCCGTCTATCACTCTTGTTATTTATCTCCCCTGCATTTCTCTTTTCTTTTGTTTAATCCGTTGTCCCAGATTCCCATCATATCTTTTCTTTCTTTCTCACCGGGTACCAGTTCCTTTCCCCTTCCCCGGGTCGAAAAGGTGGCTTCAGACTTCAGTGAGTGTGAGTCGGGTGGGACTTCTTTGCTACTTCACTACTGCTTTTAAACAGTTTGGATTTGGGCAGAAGAACTGAAGCAAACCCATCTCCTTCTCTCCCTCGTTGCAAAAAGCGAGCCACTATGTCTTGTTGGGTTCACGGGATGCTTTAATATAACTTCCAAGTGACGTTTACAGTTGCTCATTAAAGGCTAAAGAAAGAAAAGCACCGAACAACGCACCAGACTGGTAAAGCTTCCATCTTTCTATCTTCTTCTCCTTCTTCTTATTTTGTTCGTTTTTGGGTCGGCTTTAATTTCGTTTTGATTTACTTCCTTCTTCGGTGGGCTTTCTTATTTTTAACAGACAAGGGGAGCTTCGGGATGCGCGTTGGAAGTTTCTGCACTATTATACAGCAGACTTAGAGAGAAGGGTTTTTGGAGGGTTCTTCTTTGTTTTTGTTTTGTTCATATTTGACGAGAAGCTTTTCTTCCCTCTCCCTATCTTTGGACCTTTCCGGTGGAGACTAAACTAAAGACAAGATCCTCCAGTTTTCGGTTTGACCAACTTCTCTCGCTCTCTCTCTTCTTCTTCTTCTTCTTCTCCTCGTTCTGTGTTGCTTCAGTTTCTGCGCTGAGAAGCAAACTTCGCGGGTTTCTGTTTCCCAATCCAAAGTAGTTATTGGTTCTTGAGATTTGAGTTATTGGGGTTTGGAGGATCGGTGATATAGTAATTGGGTTTTCGTTGAATTCAGTTTGCTTCATTTGCAAAGCTTCGTGCTTTTTGGGGAATTGAACAAAGCAAGCTGCTTTTACTGCAAGGGTTTTCCTTCCGCTGCTGAAATTATGTCAATTTGTTAACGTTTTGGAAGCTGGGATTTTGTTCAGTAATGGTGGAGCCGGGGGTTCTGATAAGCTTCCTCAAATGGGCAGCCTTGTTTGGCTTCCTTCTTCTTTCTTCCTCTCAAATTTATTGCACTCTAGCTGCAGCATGTGATCCCAGGGACTTGAGAGCACTCAAGGAATTCTCCAGCAGCTTCACAAATGGTTCTTCTTCACTCTTTACATCTTGGTCTGAGGATACTGATTGCTGTAAATGGGATGGTGTTTCTTGTGGCTCGAATGGCGGCAGAGTGACCATGCTTACTCTACCAGACAAGGCCCTCCAAGGCCCGGTTCGACGAGCTCTAGCTGGTTTGGATCAGCTAAAATCGCTCGATCTCTCTTGGAATAGTCTTCAAGGCGAGCTTCCATTGGAGCTCTCCAGCTTGAAACAGTTGGAGGTTCTTGATTTGAGCTACAATATGTTATCAGGACAGGTTTCTGAAGTTCTCTCTGGTCTTGTTTCCATTCAGTCATTCAACATTTCCAGCAATCGGTTTGATGACAATGATCTGTTTGGTATTAAGGAGCTTCCTCATCTTGTTTGGTTCAACATAAGCAACAATTCATTCAGTGGGCGTATAAGTCCCTTTATTTGCAGCTTATCTAATGTGATTGAGGTTGTTGATTTGTCAATGAATTATCTCGTGGGAAGCATTGAAACCTTGTCTAACTGCAGCTCATCAATCAAGAAGCTGCATTTGGACAACAATATGATCTCGGGCTCTCTTCCTCAGGCTTTGTATGCATTGTCTTCTTTGCAGCAGCTATCGATCTCCAACAACAATTTCTCTGGTCAAATAAGCGGCGAAATGAGTAAGCTCACCAGCCTTACTATATTTCTTGCTTATGGGAACAGATTTTCAGGCCAGATTCCAGATGCTTTCCATAACTTGATGCAGTTTGAGCAATTTGATGTTCATTCAAATTCATTTTCTGGACCATTGCCTTCATCTCTGTCATTATGCTCCAATCTTCGTGTCCTCAGCCTTAGAAACAACTCCATGTCTGGTCCAATTGATCTTGACTTCTCCAGAATGCCTCTTCTTACTATTCTTGATCTTGCCACCAATCGGCTCTCTGGCTCACTTCCAGAGTCTCTGTCTCATTGCCATGAATTGAAGACCTTGAGCCTTGCCAAGAATGTGTTGAATGGAAGCATACCAGAGAGTTATGCTCAGCTCTCGTCAATGTCATTCCTCTCGTTGTCGAACAATTCCATTGTTGACTTGAATCGAGCGTTATCAGTGCTGCAGCATTGCCAGAATCTCACCACACTAATTCTCACAAGAAACTTCCATGGCGAGGAAATGCCAGTGAATGTGAGTGGATTCAATAGCTTGTCGGTCTTTGCACTTGGAAACTGTGCTCTCAAGGGCCGAATCCCGCCGTGGTTAATGAGTTGCAAGAAGTTACAGGTTCTTGACTTGTCATGGAATCATCTGGATGGCAGCATTCCTCCATGGGTGGGCCAGATGGAGAAACTGTTCTACTTAGACTTCTCCAACAACTCTCTCTCTGGAGAAATCCCAGAGACCCTGATGGAGCTAAAGAGCCTCACTTCAGCAGGTGCAAGCTCTCCTGGACTCTCGCCTTCTGCTGGTATTCCACTCTACGTTAAGCGAAATCAGACTGGTAGTGGCTTGCAGTACAAGCAAGTATCAAGCTTCCCTCCATCAATTTACCTGAGCTATAATATGATCAATGGAACAATCTCACCCAAGATCGGGCAGTTGAAGCAACTCCATGTTTTAGACCTGAGCAACAACAACATAACAGGTGTCATACCGAGCTCGATTTCAGATTTGCTCAACTTGGAAGTGCTGGACTTGTGTTCCAATGATCTGTATGGCTCAATCCCACCTTCACTCGAGAGGCTTACTTTCCTCTCAAGATTCAATGTAGCTAATAACCACTTGAAGGGTCCGATTCCAGCTGGAGGGCAGTTCTCCAGCTTCTCAAATTCAAGCTTCGAAGGTAACTTGGGACTCTGTGGAGGGGTAGTCTCTCCCTGCAAGGATATAGAGACTGCCATGACCCCCAGGAGACCCTCTGGCAGCTCGAGGACTAAATCCAATATTCTTGGAATCACCGTCGCTCTTGGAGTTGGGTTGTCGTTGATACTCGCCTTTCTTATTGTTAAGATGTCGAGAAGAGCTGATCCCATCAATGAGGAAGAAACCGGGTCTCACGTGTCATCATCAGCAGCACTTATGACATCATCAAAGTTGGTCCTTTTCCAGAACTCCGAATGCAAGGATCTAACGGTTTCCGATTTGTTAAAAGCTACAAATAACTTCAGCCAAGCTGACATTATTGGCTGCGGAGGGTTTGGCCTTGTTTACAAGGCCAACTTCCCTAATGGGAAAAAAGCTGCAATCAAGAAGCTTTCTGGAGATTGTGGCCAGATAGAGAGGGAGTTCCAAGCAGAAGTAGAAGCACTCTCGAGAGCTCAACACCAAAATCTCGTTTCTCTCCAGGGATACTGTCGGCATGGCAATGACAGGTTATTGGTTTACTCTTACATGGAGAATGGAAGCTTGGACTATTGGCTGCATGAATGTGTGGATGAGTCCTCTGTTCTTCAATGGGAGACCAGGTTGAAGATAGCTAGAGGTGCTGCCAAAGGGTTAGCTTTCCTTCATAAAGTCTGTGAGCCCCATATTGTTCACCGAGACGTGAAGTCTAGTAACATACTATTAGACGAAGACTTCAAGGCTCATTTGGCTGATTTTGGTCTCTCAAGGCTGCTAAGACCATATGATACCCATGTCACGACGGATTTGGTTGGGACGTTGGGTTATATTCCACCAGAATATAGTCAGTCGTTGATTGCCACATGTAGAGGTGATGTTTATAGCTTTGGAGTTGTGTTGCTTGAGCTTTTGACCAGTAGAAGGCCTGTGGAGGTGTGCAAGGGGAAGAACTGTAGGGATCTGGTGTCGTGGGTTTTCCAGATGAAGTTTGAGAAGAGGGAGTTTGAGGTTATTGCCTCTTCAATCTGGAATAAAGACAAGGAGAAAGAGCTACTCGAGATGCTTGAGATCGCTTGTCGGTGCTTGGATCATGATCCAAGACGGAGACCTTCCATCGATGAAGTTGTTTCGTGCCTTGATGGGATTGGAATGTGAAGGTGTTACCTGTAAATCAAGTTGGAAAAGAATTCTTGACCAGGTGACTGCATTTTTTGTTTGTTAGTTTTTTTAGTTATTTTCCTCATATAAACACATATAGTTATAAGTTATGTATACTGACATATGTGTTGTGTTTTCCTTCAGTCTGAAATAAAAACGTCATCAGAAATGTACTAGTTCCTTTTTTCAGTTTTTGTATAGGTCTCCTGTTAGTACATTGCAATATGAATCCATTTGGAATGTTTCAATAGCTATAAGAGAGTTGATAGGCTGTAAGAAATGTGCTTGTAGTTCAGCATTAAGAAATACCAACCAGTACAAGGAGCTGTTCCATCCATCAGTTTCTATGATGATTGTTCTGTTTTTATTTTTATTTTGGACTCAACTGAACTGCAACAAGAAAACCTGCAGTATCCAACCAGATTCCGGTGGATAACTCGTTGGACTGTCCTAGAGAGGTACCAGTTTGCAGCAATGCTAACGGCTAACAGGTCATATACACTTACAAGTTACAACCCTACCATCTCTCTATCGAGCAATTGTATGCTCTTAGAGAAAACTAGCTCATGATGTTGCCAGTCGAACTTTGCTATGACGTAGTGTTTTTTTTTTTTTTTGACAAGGCAGTTTCGACTTACGCTGAAATGAAGCAGTTAGGAGTTCTTAACGATCATTCGCTACTAAGCATGAATAGTTACCATCAATGGTCGTTAAGAAACATAACCCAGACCGGCGACACACCGACACACAAAGCGAAATGATTCGGGTTGTTTTACTAGTAACACTGAACATACGGTTTCTCGATTATGATATGGCCTTAATGGTATCGGGGTTTGTTATCCTCTCGATGTCCAATATGGCCAACCGAGCCAAAACATATTACAAGCCCTACCTAGATATGTTTAAGGTATTGGGATACTGCTGTAAACCCATTTCAAGAAAAGAAAAACACAATGGTGGTTCTGTTAGGTTAAGATTTTCAGGATCTGGTGGCCTGCTCTGTCGTGGGACTTTCATGTTTGGTGATGAAAAACCATAATGTCTTGTTAGTTATGTGGTGGTGGGGGGTGGTTTGGCACAGTTGTGGCTATTAGTTAAACTTCTCACCTCCCTTCTGACTTATGCCATGAAACAGAGAGTGGAGATTGGTGAGAGTCCACTTTGGGGAGTTTGGTTGGATGGATGTTCATGGCGACTTTTTCTTCCTCCTTTTCTGTCCACCATCTTCTTCTTCCCCATGAACTGGTGGGGGAAAAAGGGACTTTCTAGGATTAACATCATCATTGATAATGTCCCATTACACAATTGAAACATGTGGGGGAGAAAAGATAATAATGACTAGTGAAAAAGGAAGTTGGTGTGGTGAGACAGACATAATGAAATGAAGCTAAACAAAAAGTCATGAGTGGAATGTGACCTCTTTGATTATCTCCCCAACAAACCACTTTAATACTTCAACGGGTTGGTTGAGTGTTAGTGACTGAGTGTTACTGTTACATGCGTTGTATACTTGTAATGTATGCTGATCACATTGGGAAACGGTCAAGGTTGTCAAACCGGTTTATGCCAGTGTGCCGGTTTAGCAAGTGGAATGGTTCGACCGGTGGCATATACTGGTTTGTGCCGGTTCATGCCGGTCAATATTACAAATGAAATTATAAATACTCATTTTAAACATGACATTTAATGTCAATACCTAAACATTTATACTTGAATCCAACAAATAACATCAATATTTAACATTTATACTCATAAAATAAATAATAAAATAATTTTTAACAATTAAAGTCACTAAAATAAGATTATTTTACATAAAGATTCGTATATCGATCATGCCGGTCATACCGATAGTGTCATGCCGGTTTTATGGTCGGTACAGGTTGAACCAGGTACAAAACCGGAGGCACGCCGGCGGGCGTGACAACCCTGGCAACGGTAGATGGGTGTGTATCATGCCTGTAGCCCATGGGCTCGATGACCAAGATCGTGTTAATGGGCTTGGGCCTTTGTCATTGATTATTGTTGGGCTAATTAATCAATCTTCCCTCTCACCGCGACGTAAAAAACAAAAAACAGTTAAACGCTGGACACGTGTCCTGCATTCGATTCTCTGTGTTCAATACGTGTCATCTCCCCCATCGGCTGACGATTCCTGTCCATCCTTTGCTCAGAACAAAATCGACACGTCACTCTTTAAACGCATCAACCTTTTCGCTCGAGTATATAAATGGCGCACCATTTTGGACGAGTACTCGGTACTAATTCTGTATCTTTCAAAAACTGTTGGTAATCGCCACAAACAACGAAACAATTCATAGGAAACCATGGCAGCAATTTTCCTGGCGAGGAGATCCGCCGCAGCGGCCGTGTGCGTCGATTCCTCCGCTTCCAGATTATGCGGACTAGCTACCCTACCCGCCGCCGAGGGGAGGAGGCAGGAAGGGAGGGGAATAAGGGAACATGATCATAACTACTCCGGCGAGGAGGGGGCGGCGGCCTTCGTGGCGGACACTCTGAAAGAAGGGGTGAAGAAGGCGACGGAGGTAGCGGATGCGGTGGGGGAAGGGGTGAAGAGGACGGTGGATGGTGCGTGGAGGGCGGGTAGCAATGCGAACCAGGAGGTGAAGGAGACGGTGGCTGGCGACGCCGGCGGTGGGGATACTGGAGTTAAAGTAGAGGATGAGGAGACGGTGGTTGACCAGGTGGTGGAGGAAATGAAAAAGGTGGACGGGCCGGTGGATATGGCGGAGTACAGAGCCATGGAGCAGAACATGGAGGACTCGAAACAATAAAAATAGAGGATTGTCATAGTGGTTCATGGTGGACTAGAGATAAGACCCACCCAAACTATTCAGTGCTGCAAATTAGTTAACTTGCAGATTTGAGTTAGCGTTTCAATTTCCTTCCTGCACTTGTGAGTCTGTTGCCATTGATCAAATTGTTCTTATTTGGTCTTTCATGGGCAGAGGATTAGAAGAATAGAGCAACGGTTGATGGATGGGTTTATGTTCATCCACCTCATTTCTGTCGTTTCTTTGATGGTTGAAGTTCCTTGGCATGCTTGTTCTCTAGGTTTCACATTTTGTCAATTGGTCTCTGGATCTGATTTGCACAAAATTGCAGAAACATCGCTGTACTCTCGTTTGTGCTTCATACTATACAGAAATTACAGACTTGCCCCGAATTAACAAGAAACTTAGCAGAAACATTCAATCAACTATAGAACAAAGTAGAGTTCCTAGAAAAACAAAAACATGAAAGAAAAGAGAGCCAGAAGCTAACAGGATACAATAGTAGAGCTAAAACGAGATTCTGATAAGTGAATCTTACATGGGATGAAATTATAAGAGCCTAGAACTTAATGACTATGCAAGAAATATCATCTGAGCTGTTCCTATTGAGTGCCTCATCAGTGAGCCGCTTGGCCGCTGCACGAGCGTCCTTCACGCCCTTGATAGCATCCACTGCTTCCTGGTTCGACATTACCTGTATAGCCATTACATACACTTGCCAGGGATCAATCACAGACACAGTACTAATAATGGTGAAGATAACCAAGGACACAGATAGACGGTACAACCTTCCACAGGCCATCACTGGCTAGGATGATACAGTCGGTGTCGTCATCGCCGACCATTTCAACCACGACGTCTGGGTCTGAGCTTAGGTGCTTCTTCAAACTCTTGTCCCCAAATGCTCTCGCCACTGCCAATTGTCCATCGACTCGTGCAACATCTCCTGCAAAAACATCGATCACATTGTATCAGACTGTACATACTTGTCACCCCCAAAGTTCGAACCTTTCATTCAAATTATCACAAACCCATATTTACAAGCCACTACATCTATAGTTTCGATACTGATGATCATTAACCTTGGCCTCACCAAACAGGGAAGTACTCATCTAATCTAATCTACATGCTTTGAGCATTTTGTCTATGGAGAGCGAATTCAACCCAAATTGATTACATTTACATACACACCCTTAAACCAGTCTTTCCCAATTATTGGGAGCATATCAATCTTGTACCATTGTCCCTTATTTTGCCGAAGGCACACAACTTCATAAACCAACTGAAGAGGATCATCTAAACAGGGGAAGCCAAACTTTTACTCTTAATAAGGTATTTTTTCTACTCTTTTGGTACCTGGGAAGTTGGTGACAAAGCCACCACGGTTCTCGATCTCTTCCTTTTCCAAACCGGGCTCATGATCTACCGACAACTGCTTGGCCGCGCCATTCTTCGAAATCACAGCCCGAGAATCCCCAACGTTGGCAACCACCAGCTTGTGACAGTTGATCAGAATGGCAGTCACCGCCGTGGAACCGCCTTTCCCCAAATTCCCTGCATTATCCAAGATGTCGGTGTCAGTCACGTGGTAGGCCGTGGTAATCGCCTTCTCCGGCTCCGACCAGAAATTGGGCTCCTTGAGGATGTTGTCGAAGAGGTTGTTGCGGAGGTAGTCTGGAACCGTGTGGCTGAGATGGCCGTCGAAGATGGCGAAGAGGCCGAGCTCGTTGTCGTCGACTTTGCGGAACTCGGCGAAGATGTAATCTTCCATTGGGTGGTGCGATTTGCCTTTCACCAGGTGGTAGCCATGGGTGACGTGCTTGTCCACTCTGCTTTTCCCTTTCCCTGAGTCCGCCGCCGAAGACCCCAATCCCACTTTCTCCTGTACAAGAAGAAGAGCTAGTTAAATACTTGATCCATTATCAATAACAGAGGAAATTCAAATTAACTGCAAATTCCGGCTATCGCGATCAGAGAACCTTCATCTTGTGGATGATTTCGGACATCTTGGAAGGGAAGGAGAGGTGGTTTTATGTACGTGTGGGTTTCTACTTCTGGAAAGGGAGAGGAGACAGAGAGGGTGAGCGAAGGGAGATATTGGGGAAAGGAAGAGTCGACAGAGAGGACAAAAGAAGAAAGATGGAAGGGGAAGGAGGACGGGAGAGAGCGAGAGGGACACGTGTCGGGGAAGTGAGAACAGAGAAATGCATAAAGAAGGACAGGTGTCGAATGCGACTGGATTACTATACACGTCAGCAAGACAGCTCAAACTCAATAATTGTTCGGATCCAATCAGGCCCATAGCTAAACACGCTGATGTGGAGTGTTGGGGAAGAGGAAGGAAATTGGGCTTGGTGAACTTGGGTTAGGGCTAAGATCTCCCCTTAGTCACATGGCTAAGTGAATCTCCACCCTTGCACCTCATTAAAATCCAATGGCTCCTATCAATCCAATTTAATGAAGGGCAATGTAGTAATTGCATTTTTATTTTTAACTTTTAATTATAAAAAAATAAAATAAAAACCCAGCGCCCGCCGTCCGTCCCCGTCCCCGTCGCGTCCCGCCTCCGTCCGATAATTGCGCGGCCAGGAAATTCCTGGGCATGGGCGCGCCATTATTTCCCATCCAGAGTTCCTGTACGCCCAGAGAGAGAGAGAGAGAGAGAGAGAGAGAGAGAGAGAGAGAGAGAGAGAGAGAGAGAGAGAGAGAGAGAGAGATTTTTTTGGTCGGACAATTTTCTGATCGGAACATTTTTTCCGGCGAACATCGTCGCCGGAGAAAAATTTCCCGACGACAGCGCTAATTTTGTGATGTTTGTTGACATATTTTGTAATGTTTGTATGCTTTGTTATTTTGTAATGTTTGTCGGTTTTTTTTGTAATGTTTGTAAACTTTGTTATTTTTGTTACCCATGTTTGTAAACTTTGTCATTTTTGTGCACCATGTTCGTAATGTTTTTTATGTCTAAAAAACACCCGGGTTGACTTTGGGAAGGAGCCCCTCTATATAGGGATGGAGCCTCCAAAGTCAACCCGGGTGTTTTTTCCCGTTCGTATGGATTGTCGGTCTAGTTTGTCATTTTTGTCCACCATGTTCGTACTGTTTGTATGTCTAAAAAACACCCGGGTTGACTTTGGGAAGGAGCCCCTCTATATAGGGATGGAGCCTCAAAAGTCAACCCGGTTGTTTTTTCTTTTTGTATGGTTTGTATTGTTTGTCGGTCTAGTTTGTATTGTTTGTACAGTTCATACGTTTGTAATGTTTGTATGTTTTGTCGCTCTAGTTTGTACTGTTCGTATGTTTGTATGGTTTGTACTGATTGTAAATCAGGTTTGTATACTTCGTAATTTTCCATAATACCCAAACTACCCCTGTCATTAATTAAATAGCCCTTCCCACTTTTTAACCATTGGATTGAAGTGTCCAGATCTAAGGGCTGGGAGGGGCTTAGTCAAGTGACTAAGCACCCCCCTTAGTCACCAGATCCGCTCTCCTTGGGTTATGGATGAAGGGGCTGACTGGGCTGGGCCGATGATGCAAGAGAAAGGTGTGTGGATGTGGTGGTTGATCATCTCGTCTTTAGAAAATTGATTTCTGAGTAGTATGGAGATTTATCATTTCTTACCAACTACAAAGAGAGTAGATGGACTGGATCTCATAGTAATGCACCCAAAAAATGTCAAATTTGTTTTACAATCTCTTCCAATAACTCAATTCAGTGGATCAAGCGGGTTTTTTCTTTCTTTTATGAATGAAATGTGTTACGTTTTTTCTTGACACGATACTAACCCTTAATAGTGATGATTAGGTTAAACAAGCATACAACAAAAAGGTACATATAAAATGAAAAAAGCTTCTAATTCCAGCCTGATGTGTGAGATGGTAGTGTCGGATCAAATAAAATAGTTCTGGATTGTCAAGAACTAGTAGGTCTCAATAAATTGAATCAATGTTAGAGGATTACTTAAAGATATTATACAACTCTCTTATATGATTTAATGTTGGTTGAACACCAAACAACATTAAACTATCGCTCACATGAGGTTAAGGGTAGGTGTCGATGACGATAACAGTGAATAATCTTCATATTATAGATCATTGTATGAAGTGATAAACAAGTAGTTACGATGGATTGAGTGTCGTATTGTCAATAGACTAATCAGAAACCTTGGTGGGAATTGGGATGTGGATACTGGATGGTATATAGTGAAGGGATACTGTCGAGTTAGCACATGACACGGTTAGGATTAAGAAGAAGAAAAAATTGGAAGAGGGGAAACAAAGGGCTTGCTTGGTGGGGAAGGCAGTGTTTGAAAGTGTGGACCAGAATCTGGAGCTGACCGGTGGTCCTTGGGGCATGATGAGTTGAAATGGGGCCCTAACGCCTCCCTAAAGATGGCCAAAGGGGAGACAGCACAATTTTTCCTAGAGCCTCATTTCGAGGAGGGGACTTGATCCAAAGTGTCCTCTCTATGGGACTACTCATGGTTTCAAGATTCCTTTTCTTCTTGAATTCTTTTGATATTAAACAAGGGTTCCATTGTCAAAAGACAATTTGGGCTACTGGTTTGGGACGACTCAAGATTTTATTTTGGAATTCTTTAAATTTTAGTTATTGAGATCAATCGATTCTCAATATGATATAAAATAATCGAATAAAGATTGTCATTATGTATTTAGGTACCTAGTTACGTCGACCCTCAAAATCAATTAACGATTAACGTGTATGGTATTGTGGCTATGCTCAAACTTGTAACTCATGGACTATCTAACATTTGAGGGGCTTATAACTTATTAGGGATTGGTAAAAGACACGGTTTTGGGTATTTCCCAACAACTCAAATTGTTAGAATGAGTTGATTATCAACATAGTATCTAAAGCAACAATACTAGCCCGTACATATCATGAAAAAGGTGGATCTGAGACACACAATTCTCTGTTTATCCTATGAACATGTGTCATAACTTGTGATTATCCTGTAAAGTTTCCCCCCGATAATTCTACTAATGTAAAGTTAAATAGATGCTATAAACTCAATTTATTATAACATATAGCTCATATTATTAAACATAAATCACATAAAAAAAACTTTATCATTTTCTTACCTGTGTTTGCAAAACAAAAACAAAAGCAAATGTACAAAGAACATGTTAAAGATTTGGTCCATGGCATCATCATGACAAACCCTAATTAATTAAGGTTTAGCACTTTGTTAATTTGTTGATTGGTCCATCCTGTCCCTCCCTGTCCCTCCCTGGCTCTCTGGTCTCTCGTCTAAAGCCTCTCCTAGAGGCCATTTTAAGCCTTTTCTATACAGAGAAGAAGAGCATATTTGGGGGGCTGTGTCGTCCACTGATCCTTGCAACAAGAGCATGTGGACGACTTGCTCAAGCAAGAGCCCCAATGCCAATTTGATCTAAAACAAAACCCTATTTTCTTTTACAAAGAGGATTATATAAAGGATATAAGTTGATCCAAGTGTTGGTGTCATCATTTCCTCCACCCAGTTATTCCCTACGTAGCCTTCACAATGAGACATGATTGATACCCAAGTTTCGATCCTACAACGCCGCATTCTAAGTTAAATTAAACTTCGATCATGAATCCATGATCATATGTTGAATTTTGAGTGGCCCTCTAATTCAATCCATCGTGCTCACGTTTATTGATGTGAATTTCATCAAGGTGACATACATATATATACATCCTCGTAACTTCCCGTCCATGGTAGATAATCCGTATTCAAATCAATGATTGTAAAATCGTATCGAATGTTGTATCGGAAAAATCAACAGTACAAGTATTTTATACTAAAACTGTGATTTATTCGTGGTTCAACAATTTTCTATCGCTCAAATCACCTATCATTTTGATTCGGTATCCAGTATTTTTCCGTCCGAGCTACCCATTATACAATAAAGTTTGTTAAACCTTGCTTCCAATCATAGCAACCCACACGGAAGCATACACATTACACACCCTGACTCATAAACTACACGTACGCTCCCTCGATGTGTATATATAAATGGTGGAAGCAGCTGCCACCCTAAAAAAGCAGCAGCAGAGTATCTCTGAAGGAGAGAGAGCAGAGATCATGACTCCACCAAAGGAAACCACCAAGCCTCACCCAGATTCCGACGAGTTCGAGTTCGGCCGCTTCCCGCCGGACTCACCCACCGGCCAGAGCACGGATCAATCCTCCTCACCGGCCGATCACCTCTTCTCCAACGGCCGCCTCCTCCCTCATTCCTTCCCACTACCAATGCTGGTCCACAATAACAAGAAGGAATTTTTTCTTTCCCCGCCATCTGATCTCTCCCTCTTGTCCTCCAGAAGCAACAGTGTGAGCAGCAGCAGCAGCAGTGTCACTACTGCCAGGTCATCATTATCCACGTCATCGTCGTCGTCATCATCGGATCACAACAGGAGACTGGTGTCATCTTCGAAACTTGCCGGCCGGAAACAGAGTACTATTACAAGTACTCCGGTGGCGAGCAAAGTGGTGATGGCCCAGCTCTACGGCGATTCGTCCCAGAGGTGGCAGCATCTTGTGCCACCGTTGAGGAGCCGCAGCGGTAGGGTGGTGGGGAAAGGAGGAAAATCCCCGCCGGCGAGGAAGAAGAAGCAGCCGGCTGGCAGCAGTGGTGGCGGTGGTGATGGGTTCTGCCGGAAACTTCTGCGGTGGTTGTTGGTGGCGTGTAGAGAATGCCATGCTCTGGAACCTTCACCGTCACGTAGTTGAAGAAATTTGTTGTTTACTTGTTTTAATGTCGCTGTGGTGGTGGCGGTTTCTTTCAGTTGGGAGAACTTGTAAACAGAGTTACCTCTGATTGAGAAGGTTTTGGCTTTGTGTTGTGATCTAATTGTAAAACAAAAGGGGAAAAATACAAATTGCTTTTGGTTTTTCTTTACCCCTCAAGTTGATTTGGTGTGGGATGCCAGTGGTTGCTTTAGAATGAAGTAACTAAAACGATTAGTTTCAAGATACTTGGTGAAAAAGTCGGTTCTGAGCGGTGATGTTCGTGTATGATTGAATTTCTTGTTTTGGACATCCTCACATACGAAGTGGTATTTTGTTGTGTTTAGCGTGTTCATTAAAATCGATATTGTCCGTTAAGTAAAAATCAGCTTAATCTTCTTAGAAGTAGTTTTTGGAGTAAAATGAGTTTACTAACCATTATAGCCATGGCATGATACTAAAACTTCAACAAAAGAGTTTAACCAGAGTTCGATCGACTATAAACTCTCCAAGTCATTTCAGAAATTTGACGACACAAATGATAATTTGAGCAAAATTCACACATTCTGAGTTTCTGATAGTATTAAACCCTAAGCTTATGATTTCACATTAGAAACATCAGCTACATGATATAAGAAACTAACAAAAGGACGGTACTACTACTACTACAGTACGTCTTATAGTTGAAACTGAACCTGGAAACAAAAGCTCAACTCTTAAAAAGGTGGCACCTATCATCATAATCTCTCTCCCTCTCTCTCTGTCACTCACTCAGTCAGACACTCTCCTTAATCATTCCAAGTAGCTTCTTGAGCTTGTTGCACAGCCATCCGGCCGAGAGCCAGAGGAGGAAAATGGATTACAATCATGCATTTCCGAAGCTTCAGAATTGTTTCCTGACAAGAGCTTGGCATCCACATCTGTTCTTCCAGTTAGAGCACTGAAGAAAGACAAGCCATTGGGCCATTTGATGTCGCTCTCATGCTCCCCTGGCCCCATCATCATCTCCTCCATTCTATTAGGCTCCGACGTCACCGACGGATGGGGGAGCAGGAACATATGTGGTGGCGGTGGCTCTTCTTTCCCCTGTGGTGGGAACCCCATCGATCTCTCTGGGTGCTGGAAATTGGGGGAGCTGAGCATGGAAGCTGCTGCAGATGGTGGGAGGGGCCTTTGGCCATGGCCCCAGTTGAAAATCGGTGGAGGCCTGGTGGGCATCATTAGAGACTGCTTGGAAGGGATTGAAGGTGACGATGAATTGTTGTTTCTATTGGTGGTGGTGGAGGAGAAGAGCTGGGAGATGTAGAAGCCAGATTGGTAGCCTAGTGACTCAAATGTATGCCTCATTCTCAGCACAAAATGCAGGTCTTCAGCTATCTGATAAGCCAACCAGAAACAAGCTTCCAGTCATGAAATGTGCCCACCAATTTCATGGCATATACAGAACATTCAGAAAGAGAGATAAAAGAGTACTCACAATCTTGCAGGAACCCAACTGGAGTAGGCCATGACCCGCTTGAATCACAGCAATGGTCTGTCACAAGAAGACGTTAGATCTGAAGTTTACAAACAACACTTATGTGTGTCATGAAGAAGAAGTGTGTTTGAGAATGACCTGAATCCCAGAGTCAAATTGATCAGTCCATTCAGGGGGAAGCTGTAAAAAAGAACACAACACACCCATCTCAGTCCAGTATCAGACTATCAGCCATGGAATTATAGAGATGTATCTGTTAATTTGTATACCGATGGTTAAGTTGGTATGATCTTATTACGATTTTTATCGCGACTCATACATGATTTTGTTACTATACCTTGGATGGCTAGTCTCCCCAACTTGATCCCCATTACAGTTCACAAATATGATCCAAATAACTATGGAAACTTTTAGGCAAAGAAATCCCCACATCTATGATACAGTCAATCAATTGGTATTACATACAGCATCAAAAGAGCTCTGCCAGTAGTTGGCGGCATTTGGTTCAGATTCAGATGGGTCCTTGAACACCCATTTATGGCACTTATCTGATGCAACCTTCCCCATTAATCTGCTCATGAGAAACAAAATCACAGCACAAATCAATCACAACATACAGACTGAAACAGAAAAGAGAGAAAAGCCACCTATAAATACCCACCCTTCTCCATAATTATATAGCTGAATAGACATTTTGCTGAATGCTTTGCGTACAGGATCTTCTTCCCCATGATCGATGTTGTCGTCGAATCCATCTCTTCCAGCTCTTCCACGGCAATATCCGTCTTCCCACATCAACATCCTTCAAATTTAAAAACTTTCTGGTTTCTCAATCACTAACACTAATCATGCTAAACCTGAAGCTGTCAATGGTGGCCACAAACAACTAATTGTACAAAGTAAACTTTTTCCACCAAATAATGCTATGGTAATCAATGATCGTGTTTGTGATATCATATCGTACTAATTGGTTGTAGGGATTAATCCATATACTAACGATCACGGCGCGGTTCACCCAATTGATCTGTGAGGCATGAAACAACAGAAAAATTCCCCTCAAGTTTGTCCCTTTCCGATATCCCCTTCCCACCACAGTTTTCCTCTGTTTAGAGTTCGACTCACTTAGAACAAACAGAGGTTTGCCTCTCTGTTTTCTCTGACAGAGTTCAAAGAGTGTGCAGGGAAAACAGGAAAATGGAAACCCACAAGAGGAAGAATGAAAAAGAAACAGAGCTTCGTGTGTATGAGTTTTGCAGGGCAGGGGAACTTACAAGCTTCCATTGTCGTCCCCAACCTTGCAACCATTGCCTCCCCTGACTCTCCTGCCACAAAGAGAAAGGGAAAGGGTGGGTTTTTAGGTTTGCTTTGTGTTACCCATTTTAAGGAAACAGCTCAAATCGGAAAAAGCAGAGAGACAGATAGTAAAGAGTGGAAGAAATTATGGAAGAGAGAGAGGGAGAGAGGTGAGTACGGGCGAGGACGAATAGTCCAGAAAACAGAGTAAATCCAGTCTGAGTTGAGACAGACGGCCCTGAGGGCCTCATGAAGTGCCATCATCCCAACCGCTTCTTTGCTGCTCCTATCTCCTCCTCCTGAGCCCACCATCCTCTCTCTCTCTCTCTCTCTCTCTTCAGCAAGCGGCAAACGTAAGTTAAGGCAAGCTTCCCTCTCCCTCTCTCTCTCTCTAGACCTTTTCCCCTATCCTTTTTTTATCTCTTTCTCTTCGCACAGTCTTCAGAGAAAGCCACCGATGTCGATTCTAGTGACAGTGGTGAAGAAGACTAGAAGAGTTCCTCCATTTTTAGTTTCGCTTTCTTTACATGACATCCTCTGTTCTTTTCCCCCCTTTTATCTATGGCTTTCACTTTTGCAGTTTTGTTTGTTTGTGTATCATTGAATGCACCATTTTACTTTTTTTTTTGTTTTGTATACCATTCATTTTGTTTGCCCCTAATCATGTTAAGCTTTTGTAAATCAAAGAAGAAATGAAACATGAACAAGGATGAAACTTCAGATTGGTTCGACAAGTATGTCTACATCTCATACGAATAGTTAATGGAGTTATAGTTGAACAAAATTATCGTTAAAGCTTCTTATTCATACAATTATAGCTCTATATTCTATGCATTATCACCAACTTTTCGAAGATGTTTATTGTTGAGATGACGAAATTACCTCGATTTTGAACCTTTGATTATTTGATTGGTTTTTAACCCTCGTTGAGTATGAGAAAGGGCATCAATTTTCTTGCTTGGTTGAGGCAGATCATTGACCAGAATCTTTTGATGGTCAAAAGTGATGGGGAAGGGTGCAGAAGGTTAGATCTGGGTTCAATATTCTGTGGGGGGAATATGATATATCATATGGTTTTAGCTCAACGAGAAAAGTTTAGTGTCAGTTTGATATGTCAGAAGTTTGCCCTTCAAAAACCCATAACAAAAAAGGGTCACACACACGTTCAGGCAATCGTAATATTCGTATCTAGGACTTCAAGTTCAAGTGTGAGTGTGTGCCACTGTTCTCATGTACCAAATTAATATTAAACTAAGTTTGTAATAGATAACGGGCCTCCCCTGCCGAACCCATCCTAGACCCCCATCTCCTTGTCTCCCAGGCCCAGCCCACTGATGAGGCGGATAGTTTCCTAGCAGGTAATACAGCGCATCTGGCGACTGGCGGACCACATTGGGCTCGAGAATGTGTAGCCCATGTCGTGGATAGTGAATCACTCTGGGTACTTAACGGGCCCAACGCGATCTAGCAAGTAGCAACCCATTTGATTCTGTTAATTTGGTTTAATTTGTAGGGTTGAGATAAATAATATCAATCTACCAACATATCAAACTGTAATATGCTCTCTAATTTTTTATTTGAGTAATCAACTCTACGACTCTGACCAATTATGTTTATGTTATTGGACCCCGCTCCATGACCCAAATTATGAAGTACATGTCGGGATAACATGACTTACAAATTAAAAATAATTTCCCTCTTATTAGGAGAAACATCAAGTAAAAAAATTGAGAAATCCACTAAAAAAGACAGATACTCACCATTGTATTTCATATGCAAAGACGAACAATACCACAGTAATACGACAACGGTTTCAATATAGTTTCTACGTTTTCTCAAAAAAATTTGGACAAGCGGAATAAAAGTATATATTTTGTTACTATCTTTTTCTATGAAATTTGTTACATTTCAATGTTCATATCGCAACGTGGGTGGGCGAAAGGGAAAAACTTTTTCCAGTACAGTCGCCAAATCAGTCGCCTCCTTTTCAATGCTAAAGCCTACAGATTAAAGAAAGAAGAAGAAAAAGGAAACCACATTGCAATTTCGTCCCTGCCCCGCCCCTCTCTGTGCAAAAAACACAGAGCACTCTGTTTCTGCTTCTGCCCCATCCCTCCTTGACTCCGTCTCCTTCTCCTATAATTAATTTCTCGTCTCTGCTTGGTATCAGCAGCAAGTAGTACGCCCGACGCCCTCTCTCTTACTCCCTTCCAATTCCTTCCATTTCCCCCAA